CTGCCCCGTCTGAAGGTGCTCAGCTCCTCGGCGCAGGTGCGCGGTTTTCCGGCACCTGCGCACGGTTCACCAGCTGCTGGGATGTGTGCCCGCTCCCCTTCGCTTCCACGGACACGGTCCCCGCAGCCCCTTGTGGCGATAACGTCTCGAGGTTTCTCACCTACCACAGAACATGCTTGTTAGAATCCACTGGAAACTGACTAAATTTATCTAACTAAATTTTTACAATTGTACAAGTTCTGCCTTTTCCTGTGCTGTGAGTTTTGGTGAGTGTTCGTAATTCAGTTTTTCTGCCACCTCGTGCCTCTGTAAACTTCATCCGTGCCTCTCTTTCTTATGCAAACCCACTCCCAGCTTCTCTGGGCCTGCCCTGGCTCCCCTAAACCCATCCTGTGAAGCAGTGATTGCACCTCTATGCAGCACTCAAGACACAAGTGCACTGGCAGTTTACATCAGCAGAACAACTGTCTGTCTTGTCCTGGCAATGCACAGCATTTTGTTGCTTCTCCAGCTACCCCACCACAGAACCTGTGTCTCCAGATACAGTCACTAACACCGTGGGAGCTGTCCTGCAGTGCAGCTGTGAGGTTCCAGTTCAGCCCTTGGCAGACCATGATCAGGTAATTTTCTTTAGATATGTTATTTTATATTTAGCCATACAGAATGAAGTAGACCCGTTTTGTGTCTTTTTGCCGGAGGCCACTTCAGACTATATGATGGGATCTTTTTACTGACGATAATGTCCTGCTGCTCTCCATCTGTCCTCCCATTCTGGAGGGAGGAGACCCCTTAGCACAGCAACCATCACCTTCCAGCAGAGGAGGTGATGAATTATTGGTTATTGGTTATTGGTTATTGGTTATTGGTTATTGGTTATTGGAGCAAAGGCAAGTCAGGATCTCACCCATACAAGTGTCAGCATTTCTCAGGACTGGTAAGGGCAGAGCTGATTCAGGAAAGGGAGAAGAGTAAGGACAGCAGGACAATTTGAAAATACAGAAAACTCCACATTCAGGCAAATGCTTTTATTCAAGAGTTTGACCAAACACTGTCTGTAAAAGCTCTTTGCTTTTACAGCAAAAGAATTGCAAAGATATACTTTAATTACATTTAGGAAAACACATTTTTGGGAAAACAGTTACACTGTAAGGTCTCAGACGCAGTACCTGAATATGTGCCATGAGAGGCACACATTCCAAATTTGTCTCTTAAATGCAGAAATACATTTCCTCCATCTGCAAGGCTGGTGGCAACAGACTGTTTCACCCTTCTGTCTCTACAGGAGCAACAGCAATAACTCTATAGACTTAGATGGTGAAAAGCCAAAAAACTGCACCTCAGCACTGTGGGAAAACACTCTCCTCAACACTTCACCTGATTTCACAAAGTTCTGGAGATCTGAAAATGCATCTTAGAATTTACTTAGGTTGAAGTAAGAGAGAAGGAAAACAAAAGAACCATTGTTTCAAAGCCCAGGTCATACAGAGGGGACAGAAATTGTGTGCAAAGTTAGAAAATTGAGAATCCATAGGGAGTTTAGGATGAGCAGTCTGGAGATAGTGCAGGTGCTCAGCTGTGAGGCTATTGCACACAACCTTTCATCAGCATATGTTGCATCACTCATGTTGACGTGCCAGAAAGCAGGGCTCCTTGCTGGATGGGTTTAAAAATTTTAGCAACCCTTTGTGAACTTTCAGGGTCATGCACAGTGCCATTTTTTTTAGTAGAGCTTTTGACTGAAAGGGACATAAAGAACTAAGCTGAATAATCACGAGTCACAAGAAGGGATGGAATAAGTGTTTCTTATGCAGAGTGTTGCTGCTGGTCATCCAATAAGCTGAGATAAAGCTTTCTTTGGATTTGTCTGTGATTTACTTGTTCAAAGACAGAGGCAGGAAGTATTGCTCTGTTGGGGATGTGTTCAGTGTTTTACTAGAGCGTTTGCTGCTAAAAAGTGAAGTATGAGCTTCAAGATACCACAGAAGTGAGTCAATCTTTTTTAATTTCTGTTGCTATAATGAGAAATCTTAAAAATACTTTGTGTCACTTCACTCCTGATCAAAGTACTGTAGCTGAACTCAGTCAGCATTGTCTTCTGGGTTCCTGTTTTCACTGCAACAAATACCAGTCAGCAGAACAGGGCAATAGGAAGTTGAGGATACCAGTATTAATCTTCTCCACTGTTTAGGCTTCTCTTTGTAATTTTTTATTATTATTATTTTTGGCTTCTTTGTTTCTGGCTACTTCTGGTGTCATTGCTGTGCTAAGGGGAGGAATGATGTGGTTTGGCTTGCCATGGACCAAGAGCTCTGACCTGGTTCAGTGCCCTCCCTGGGAACTTGGAGGGTAAAGTGGTAGGAGCAAGTAATGAACTGCCTCATATGTCTCCAGTTTGAGGCAGCTGAGAGCTGCAGCACAATCACTGCTGAACACCACAACCAGATTTATTGACTGTCCCACATAAATAAATAATCACAGGGACAATGAGTGCAGCATGGTGACGATAGAGAGGTACTGTAGAAAAGAACTGGAGGTTACTGTGAATGACAAACTGAACTCAAGTCCACAATGTCATCCTGTTGCGAAAAAACTAACATTTCTAGGGTGTATGAACAGGAATGTCACATGTAGGACGTGTGAAGAAATTCTTCTGCCCCCACTTCAGACTGGCTTGGCCCCAGTCTTGCACACTGTTTTCCAGAGGCGAGTGGATCAGCTGGAGGGGATTCAGAAGAAAGCAAAAGAAATATTTAGAAATACAACCTGTGAGAAAAAGATTGATCACAGACATCTCATTTCAAAAAACAAGCATCTGTTAACAGCTTGCAAGCTTGTTAATAGAGAGGTGTCTAGACAACTTGCAAACTTGTAAAAATCTCTTGGCAAGAGCAGGGAAATATTTTGTTCACTCTGTTTGCTGTTGGTGTGGTCAGAAAACAGAGAGCTTAGCTTGAAGCAAAAGGGATTCATTTTAGGCACCCTCAATGTTTCTCACACACACTCCAACTCCACCATTTTACAAGGAGATGAACAGTTAGTGCAGGAGTGGATTAGTCAGAAGATGGTAGGTTTCCATCACTGGGACTGTAATTCAGTCATGAGAAGGCTAGTCTGCCTGTGTTCTTTGAGAAGGAAGTGCCGGTTCTGCCCACACCAGCCACTGTAAGCGCACAGTGTCGTCTCACCCCACAAAGCCACTGTGCCTCTTTCCGCACCACCCCCGTTAGCTGGTCACTGTCCCAGTGGCTGCAAGGCCAGTGGAGGACAGCTGCTATGACATATCATGCAACAGCTCAAGTCTCTGAAGTTGTAAGTCAAACACAGAATATTCACTTACCTGGATAATATTTACCCGGATGTAAACAGACACAAGTCTGGACAAGATGTTTTCTTTCACTGTGCCTGTACTCAGGAACCAGCAACACTCACACTTTGTGGAACATTCTTCTCAGCATCTGTAACAGGAATAGCAAGTCTTTCATCGTGGCTGTTGGGTCTGTAGCTCACTGGTGCTTCCAACTCCCCACAAACCTGGAGTGCACTCTGTCTGTCAATGTGCTGGCTATGGACCCAGTGCCCAGGCTGAGCAAGCAAAGGCTCCTGTACCTGCTGGACTCTGTACACTCCCAGCACCACAGTGGTCAGAGCCTGCAGTCTGCTGAAAGGAGTAGACATATATTGCTGGAAATTAAAGCAAAAAAAATTTTTTGGGGGGAGGGGGAACAAGTGAAGTGATTTGGTACCGACCCTGGTGGATTTTTATGCAGAGTACTAGTTGGGTGTCTGTCCCTGCACCTCCCAGTGCACCCTGAATTGGCAAAACCGTCCTTGTGTATGACCTACCTGCAGTCTGACAGAGACAGGTTTGTCAGTGCAGCAGTGCTTGAGCCTGTGCTCTCCTCAAGCAGCTGTTTGTCAGTCCCACTTTGGGCCTGCAGCTCAGTCTGGAAGCCGAATTGCTTGGTTTTACTGGCTTCACCTCTGCTCACAGAAATGGGACTCTGGGAGCCTTGGTACCAGAGAAAGACAGTACCATAAAAAAATGCTGAAGTTGTCACTAGTTTCTCCTTCCAGTGGGAAGAGATAAAAGTCAATTGCTCAAGCTACACAAGAAAGAGGGAGCTGAAGAGGTATGTACAAGATACCTGTGATGTTGACCTGCTGGGACAGAGAAGCAAACTACAGAGGGTGGAGGCAAGTGAGTGGGGTGGGATGTTGGTGGGGAGCATAGGGGCCTGACAGTGAAGAGAGATGGCAGCCTTGCTGGCAGAAATGCATCCTGCAGGGTATGGCTGCCTCTTTCACCGCACCACAGAAGGATGGCTTGTCCATATTTCTAGAACACTAATTGCTGAGTTGTGTGTTCATGCTTTCGTCCTGTGAAACACTGCACAACAAGGGGTGGGAGGATAGGGGTTGCATACCCCATGTGAAAGTGTCTGGAGGAGGACTGGAGACATTCAGTGAGAGGAGAAGGGCATTGTAATAGCAGGAGAAACCCACAGATGCAGTTGTACACTTCTGTCCCCACCCTGCTTCTCACCATGTTCTCAACATTATGTAACTGAGCCTCCTATGTCTCCAGAGCCACATTTTTCCCCACCTTGGCAACAGACTTCCACCGTGGCCTTCCCTGAACCCCACTGCTGTGTGCAGGATGACGGGTAGGGCTCCAGTTGCGTCACTTTGGGGATTGTTGCTAGGCAGAACATCCAGCATCGTCCTTGAGGCCTCCCAGTGCCGTGTTTAACCCTGCCAGGGCTGCAGCATGGCAAGAGATGGGGCTAGCTGAGGGGAAGTGAGAAAATAACCCATAGGTGCTTGGAGAGGACCTGCATAAACTTCCAAAGGTTACTCATGTCAGGTTTCATTCAAAAGAAGAAAGAAATTGTGCAGCCCTCAGCAGAAGACAGTCCAAACAGCTTCAATACAAGATGTTGCTCTGTGAAAGGGTTTTGAAAGGTACTATTCCTTATCCAAAGGCCTTGGGGCTTGTTGCAATGAGAAGTCTGCCCTCCAGTCTGGGGCTAAGGGTCCTGGCTAGACCTGCTGAGCACACTCCACCGCCTTCCAGCCTGTCTCCAGCCCTGAATCCTTGGCCCCCATTGTGGCCTCAGAAGTGCCCATTGCAATACTGTGATCAACAGCAGGTCATGGCTCCCCAGCAGGGCCAGCCCAGCTACAGCACTGAGGGAAGGGGCTACTCATGTCACCTGGGGAGCCGCAGCCTTGCTGATGGTTGTGTAGTGAGCATGGGTTGAATGCAAGGTCCTGTGTCCTCCAACTCGGATGCGGGTATAAACAGGTAAAATTCACAGTGACCACTGGCCTCTGCACTGAAGGCATCAGCAGTCTGTTAGCTCGAAGGTTGGCAAGTCCCTCTTGTCCCTGAGCAACTCTTCAGTTTCTGGCCACTTGCTGCCATGGCAATAAGGGAAGACTTGGAGCAGCCCTTAAAAGGCAGGAAGAATGCGAGATGTCTCTCATTTATCCTAGCCATGGAGGAATTGAGGCTGGAAGTCATAGGTTCACATTGCTTAGCAAAAGTGGCCTTCTGGGAATGGTATCATCTGTGGTTTGCAATGCCATCAAAGAGGGAAGAATTGCATAATTTCTGCTGGCTGCCAGAATTATGATTTTATTTGGGTCTTGAAGCAACCAAAAAAAACCAAAAAAACCAAAAAAAAAAAAAACCAAAAAAACCACACAAAACAAAACAAAACAATCCCCCCCCCAAAAAAAAACAAAAAGGAAAAAACCTCCAAACTAATGACAACTTGAGCTTACTTTAATCCTTCAGGTACTGGTGCCTCCAAAGCACTGGTTAGGGGAGTGCTTTCTTCCCTTTAGTTTATTGAGGAAGATGCCTCCCAATTGTAATCCATTGTAATGCAGCCACAAACTGGTGTTTGTCAGCTGGTGCACTGGGATCCCAGAAACTCTTAGGTTAGGACAGACTGATGGCCTCCTCAAGCTTTACGGTCCATCAATCCACTCTCGGTGAATTACAAGGTACTAGTGCTGGAGTACCTGGACTCTCTAGATTTGCCCCCAGCAGTGTTTGCAGACTGAGGAAAGTGGTGACAAAGGATGGCAGCCTAGGCATGCCAGGAAATCAAGCTGTGTCCTTAGGCTGCCCCCAGAAAGAGTTAATGTAGAGCCATGTTCCAGGTGTTTGAAGTGACTACAATTGCAAAGGGGAGGAGAGGTCATTTTTGGGTGGGGAGAGCAGCCCTCTCTGTGGGCCAATGGCTAAATGATTCAGTCTCAACGCCCAGTTTTGGGGATTATTTCATGGGCAAAAATTCACAGGACTTTCCTCTCAAGGGGATTTGTCCTGGATGAAAACTAGGGACTGGACCCCCAGACTTGTTGGTGTCTCCCTGTCTGTGCTGTAGAAGGTAAGGTGCTGTGTGCTGCGGCCTTGCTTCTTTCAGGCGGGTAGTGGGGAGTTCTTCCCTGGCTGCCTGCACTGAAGGTATCTATTGTGCCTGTGTCTACAGCTCCTCTTTTTAGAAGAGCCATGTTGCAGGGTGGTGTAAGGGCTCTGCTAGGATAGACTGTGTATTTGGGACACAGCCCAGCAGTTGAATTGAGATACGTGGCTCATTTCTAGACTCAGTTTTTTGTGCGGCCCTGCTGTATATTTCTTCAGCTGTCTTGCTTCTGATGGAAAGGAAATGCAGAAGGTTTCAGCAGAAAAGCTGAAGTCTTGCTTTGTGACCCTGTTAGATCAGCCTGGGTTGCTATAAATGGCCTAATGCATTGCTGGTAGAGTAACTGCAGCAGCATGGGGCATCTCTAGGTGCAAACTTCACTGAAACAGTGAGAAATTTGTTCAGATAGAAAATCCTGTGTGAACCAAGTAACACTACAGCCCTCCTGGCTCAGTCTCTGCATCAAGGAAGGGGAGCTGTGCTGTATCTGCGAGTGTGGGGCTATGCAACTACCATCAGGAAAGGGCCACTGTTTACTGACTTGCTTTTCAGTGGAGCAGAGAAATAGGACAGAATAAGCAGTTTGTGGCAAGATTACAAGGTAGTGTGCCAGTATTAGCAAGAACAGACTCTGTGGCTCAGGAGGTCTGCCTCTTCTGTGCCCTATCCCTAAGCTGCAGATGGAAATCCCAGAGTCATCATCAGTTTGTAAGTTAGGCTTTTTCTGCCTCATCTAGCTTGTGTTCTGGGTATAACATGCTGGGATGTGTAAGTCACTTTTGTGTCCATTTCTGGGCCTTGGAGGCAGCTGTTCCTCTGCTGTGTGTTGCTTTTTAGTCAGGTTGAACTACAGACTCTTTGGGGGCAGTGGTGCCTTCTGGATTTCCCTCTTGGCCATACCAGTCTTGCTCCATTTCCTAAGCATTGCCTTTTGCTCTAGGCTCTCTGGGCTGGCCTGTTCTCTGCCGACAGAAGTAAGTGTCTAACCTCTATCCTGCCACTGCTCAGTACGTCCTGATAACACTGAAGAAGAACTACCTTCTTGGCATCTGATATTTGATTTGCAGTGCTGCATTTCTGTCTGTAGACTGGAGGATCATACTACATATGAACGCACATAGTGGGCCAGCCCTTGTGTTTGCAGGTTGGGGTGTACAAGTTGATAGCTGGGAGTAGAAAGTGGGTGACCTGGTCCTTCTGTCAGTGGACTATTGAATCTGCAGTCAAGCAGTGACTACAAAATGCTGCTAATTCTTGGCTTCTGGCTTTAGCGTGGCTTTTTCCTCCTCAGTGCAGGAGGTCTACCATGCAGGGGTGTAGCTAACGCACAGAAATGCCCTAATCTTTCCCACTGTATTGCTCTCTCACTTATGCATGGGGTTTCACTACATCCTGGCACCAAATAGGGCCCTACTTGCTGCTGCTGCTGCTTTGTCCATAGGCAGTAAGGAGTGTCTACAGCTTTTGGAAGTTTTACTTATGGGCTGCATCCCCAAATGCATCCCTAGACAAGATTCCTTGTTTGACATGTGTTAACTAAGCCCAGGAAATTCACTTTGCACTGACAGCTCTCAGGATGGACTCGTACCTGATCCAAGTGAATGGCCATGGAGATCATGCCCCTGTGCTAGATGTTCATCTCAAGAACACTGGGAACACCATATCACCAGGGAAGGTGAAAGGTCGGAAGCCAAGATGGGCTGTCAGGGCTTCTGAAATGTCAAAGAAGACTTTCAATCCCATCCGAGCCATTGTAGACAGCATGAAGGTGGAACCCAACCCAAAGAAAGCCATGATCTCCTTATCCCTAGGTGAGCATAGTCCTGTGGCTGAAGCCTCCAGGTATTTGGATCAGCTGTGTGGCTGACAGATGACAGGGCTCTGAAGCACAAAGTTTGTGTGAACACCAAGGGATAGGTCAGACAACCACACAGCTCTGTGCCTGTCACAGATCAGCGAGAACTTTACTGTTTTTTCGATCTTTGAAAAGGAGACCCGACGGTCTTTGGAAACCTTCCCACAAATGATGAGGTCACACGGGCTGTGAAGGAGGTTTTGGACTCAGGACAGTACAATGGTTATGCTCCATCTGTTGGTAAGTTGACAAAGCTCATCCTGTGAGAGTTGGATGAAGTCATACGCCAGGTTCTACCCCACAGCAGGTATATGGAGCCCACAGATATCTTTCCATTAGCACCCTACAGTTGTTCTCACCAACAGTCACATGAACACACAGGTAAGTGTATCCCCCAGATACACCTGTGTGCTCTCTCCTGTGTGGGCTGTTTGAGGCCCGGAGATCCTGCAGAAGCTGTTTGCTGCCCCAGCCATTGGGGCAGACAGGACATCAAGAACCTAGAAGAGCTTGGGTACTGTGTGTCCCTGCCATGGGTCATAGCCAAGCTCCTTTCTGATCTGCCTTAACCAGGGCTCCCTGACTTCACTGACACCATCTTTTGGCACTCATGAAGTTAGTGCCAAAAGCATGCACAGAGCATAGATCTGGCATAGAGTGGCATCACTAAACAATGAAAGCCATGCCTCGGCTTCCTCTGGCTCAGAAAACTCTCTGGCTACCATTCACTCTGCTCCTGTCAGTTCTGTCCCTGGGCCATACTGGGGTCTGAGTTTGCCTCCCTGCCCAAGGTTTGTCCTTGCTCTTGGCCATCCTGGCCCAGCCTTGGGGCTGCATGGTGCTTGGCCTGAGGTAGGACAGTCTCTGCCACCAAATGGGCTTTCCCCAGCTGGGCAGCTGCTGTGAGCCTTGTACTGGTAACAAGAAGGAAGGAATCTGTAAGAACCTCCTTTCCATGTCTGACTCGTCTTTCCTCAGGCTACCATTCCTGCCGGGAAGCTGTGGCTGCATACTACAACTGCCCAGAGGCACCGCTGAAGGCCCAGGTACTGGTGCCCAGCCAAGGCACTCCCACTGCAGTGCAGACAGGGTGCTGCTGCCTGCAGACCATGGGGGCCCTACCCCAGCTCTCCCTGTCTGCCCAGTTATGCAACTAAAGGCTAGTCAAATCACCTTGTCCCAAGGTGGCCTCCTGCTGCTCTCATCCCTTCCTGGAGCCCTTCACCTCCATCCTCCCCAGGAGGAGGTTTTTCTGTTCACCAGCTGAAGTTTCCCTGCTTTCATTCAGGCCCTGGCACTGTCTTTTTTGGCTGAGAAGCTCTCCCTGGCAGAGCTGAGCCTGGATGTTATGTCACTCCTGTGTGTCCAGGGTACTTCAGAGTGGTTGTGCTTCCCACTGACCTCTCTGTGCTCTTTGCAGGATGTCATCTTAACAAGTGGCTGCAGCCAGGCCATAGAGCTTGCCTTGGCAGTGCTGGCCAACCCAGGCCAGAACATTCTGGTGCCACGGCCTGGCTTCTCCCTCTACAAGACTCTGGCATTGTCTTTGGGGATAGAGGTCAAACTCTATAATCTCTTGGTAAGTAGTGGCAGGCCTGGAAGGGGAAATCCTGACATTTCTCCTCTCAGAAATACCCTGGCTCTGCCTGGGAAGTGGCAGAATAACCCTGGGTGCCCTGGCACACCTGACCTTGTGTGGCAAGTCAGTTCCTCAGCTTTTACTTCCCTTTCTCTTCACTTCACTAGCCAGAGAAGGCCTGGGAAATTGATTTGGAGCACTTGGAGTCTTTGGTGGATGAGAAAACAGCTTGCCTCATTGTGAACAACCCATCAAACCCCTGTGGCTCTGTGTTCAGCAAGAGCCACCTCCAGGAGATCCTGGCAGGTGAGCCTGCCTGTGTGTTTCTGGGGCCTGGGGCATGGTTGCAGTCTAGTGTCTGCCCCCACTGCTCGTGTCTCAGTCACTGCAACACCATGGCCAAAGGCTCTGCTTCTGACTGACTCCACCTCAGGAATGAGGGCTTGCTCAGTGTGGAGGTGCTGTCTTATCACATGCAGACCATGTGCCTTCCTCAAGAGCTCTGTGTGACTTGGACTGCTCATTTTTCCCCTCTGGCTCTGCACTGGGAGTGTTCACAGGAGCCCTGTGCTTCCTTGTCCTGACAGGGAGGGCTGTGCTGCCAATCCCCACCAACTGGAGCACAACTAGGCTCAGTCAGGGCAGGGATCTCCAGTGGTCAGGCTCTCCAAATGAACAGTCCGTAGGAGGAAGATAGGGACCCTGTGACCTGAGACAGAGCTTCCCTCAGAGCTCTGCCAGGCTTTGCAGCAAAGGGCAGGTCTGTTCCCATGGAGGATGCAGGTGGCCAGGCTGAATGCCCTCTCTTCCACAGTGGCAGCAAGACAGTGTGTGCCCATCCTGGCTGATGAGATCTACGGAGACATGGTGAGCATCCCCTGCAGTCCTTTCCACTCGCAATGCTGCCTGTCCCTTTTGATGTACTAATCCTTGGCCTTGGCAGCCCGGTCTCTAGAGGTGAGGGACAGCTCCACTTCCCTGGGCTTGAGTCCATGCCTGGAGCTCCCAGTCCTTTGGGGCACAGTCCTAGGGGAGCCTCTCCTGTCCAGCTCCCTTCCACTTCCCAAACAGTTTTCTTTTATGCCTGTGCGCTTACCATGTTCATACTTTGAAGCTGGAAGTTTTCACCATCGGTTTCCCATCGCTTCACTGCATCCCTTCTTGCTAAGCCTCTTGCTCACACCCATGCTCACAGTAGGAGGCAGGGACAGCCCTAACACAATCTCTGGTCATAGGTATTTGCTGACTGCAAGTATGAACCCATTGCAACTCTCAGCACCAATGTGCCAGTCTTGTCCTGCGGTGGCTTGGCAAAGCGATGGCTAGTCCCTGGCTGGCGGATGGGCTGGATCCTAATTCATGACAGGAGAGACATCTTTGGTAACGAGGTGAGAACCAATGTGTTGCTGTCATGGCAACAGACTTGCAGAGTCTTCAGTATGTGGATCATCAGGTCTTTAACTGATACAGGCAGGTACTTTTGCTCTCATGTAGGTGTCACCCAATCGTGCTTAGCTGCTTTTCTCCCCCTCTTTCATGTCCCTTCCTTACTCTATCTGCTCCCAGACATGGTCTTCTACCCACATCTACACTGTAACTCACTCCGTGTCTCTCCTGCTCATTAATATATGCCTTGTCCTTTTTCTGTGCTTCTAACTTCTCAGAGAGCTCCAGTGTGCACTGAAAGTATTGCATGGCTTATCAGGCACATGGAGTCCATGTGTGGTGTCTATGTGCTCTTACATGGTTTCTCTTAAAAGTAAGAACAAAGCACCTTGCAGTGCTGCCAGTACTTTATCTGGCTATTTTTCAGCAGTGTTACAAGGACAACCATCTACTGCAGTGACCTTTCCACCTAGAAGGCTCTCTGCAGAGGAAGAGGGAGAAGAGAGGACCAAATGAGTGAGCAGAAAAGCTAATATTGATTGTCCTTACCTGGCTTTGAAAGTGTGGAATGTGGGCACAAACCAAAGGGAAATGCAAAGTTGTATTTGGAACAGCTCTGGCTTTACTTGTATTATCTATATTCCAGCCTGGTTTGAGTCAGATTGGGAAGCTCCAAAAGTTGTCTCTGTTGGCATTTCAATCTGCAATGGAGGAACAGAGAATGACACTGTAAATAGTCTGCTAAACCTGGCATATAGTCAAACAAATGTTCTTTAGTACTTTGTATGCTCACTGAAGAGAAGGGTGTGCACAGCTGTAGAAATACAGGAAGTGAGCCTTGGAGCTGTTCCTTTCCTTTAGGGAAGTATAATCTAAGCTGCAAAAACTATGTTTTGTCAGATCAGAGACGGCCTTCTGAGACTGAGTCAGAGGATCCTAGGACCCTGTACAATTGTCCAAGGAGCACTGGAGCGTATCTTGCACCGAACACCACCTGAGTTCTATCACAACACCCTAAGCATCCTCAAGGTAAACAGGCTGTTATAGATCAAGAAGGGCTGTTCACAAATTGTTTGGAGGGAGTCCTTTCTCTTTAGTTCATCATTCTTCCTCCCCTCCTCTTCACTTGGAGGTGCAGTTTTGTCTGTGATTAGGATGACTCAACAGATCAAATTCCAGCAGGAGACATTGGAATGGGCAGAAGTAATGACTGTGGTAACGTTCAGGCAGCCTACCTCTGCAGCTGTAGCTGCCAAGAGGGGATGGAGTTTGGCACTGACTTTCTGAGCTCAGCTCAGTAACACCTGCTGCACTCAAGGCCATGATCTCCCATACTGTTTGCATTTGTTGTCCCTTTATTTACAGTAGGCAAACCTGTTCATAGTCCCAGTCCAGAATTTGGCTTCCAATCATTGACCTGTTTTCTAGAACTTCTCCTGTTTTGAAATTTCTCCTTCTTGCTTTTCAGTCTAATGCTGACCTTTGTTATGCTGCCTTATCAGCTATCCCTGGCCTTCAGCCTGTCAGGCCTGCTGGAGCCATGTACCTGATGGTAAGTGAGGATTGCCAACACTTACACTAGGTCTGTTTGCCAGAGCTAGTCAATGTTTCAGAGTGGTACTCGCCACCAGGTCTCCGTTTACTGCGCATTTTCAAATTGCCCTGTGCCGTAAATGCATCCTTTGGTCACCTTAGAAGGCCAGGATATGCTGTTAACTGCTCACAGAGCAGAGGCCAGTGCACTTAACCCACTTGCTTCTGCACAGAACTCCATGATTTTTCAAGACAAGGCTGTTTCACCTGGATATGAAGCCTGCTGGCAATTGGAGGCCCCTATTATAAAACAAGGCAGAATATCATACCTCCTGTAGAAGATGGAGCCTTCTTCATACTAGCATGCCTGTCTTCTGCCTGTGGTGTTGCCTTTTCTTCTGCCTTTTCCTATGCCTGTTTGCTTTAAAGTTTATAATGTGCTAAAATTTCCTTTTTCATCTAATCAAGTTCAATTGAGAAATTTATGACACTTTGACACATTTGAATTTTTTTTTCCTTTTATTTTGTTCCATTTCATAATGTCTCCAGTTTTTCATTCACTCTTAAAATGTGGACTCTGAACTGGACAATACTGCAGTATATGTCTCACTCATTTCTATAGAAAAATCCTTATCACTTGACCCTGTTTCAAATTTTACTCAGAGCTACATAGGTAATTTTGCTTATGCTTTTTAGGTAGAGACACAGCTCTAAGATTCTTTCCCATTTATTGTATTTCTCCAGTGGCTGGCTGTCTATTTCTAATTAAATCACATGTTTATTTTTATTTTCTACTAGCTCTTTCAGAACTTATGTCTGCAAAGTATCTCTCAAATTACCAGTTTAAGAATATTTTCATGAGATTTTAAAAATCTTCTTTGGTTGTAAAGGTCAGTCTGGATGAGGCCCTGAACAAGCTGATCTAGTGGATGGCAGCCATGCCTGTAGTGGAAGCATTGAACTAAATGAGCTTTAAGGTCCCTTCCAATCCAAACCATTCTGGGATTCTATAAACAAATGGCCAGAATAGCAGTGTCTTTATGTGAGAGATGGACAGCTGCCTTCTTTCCAAATACAAAAAAGAAATATTTATTGAAGATTTTACCATTTTTGTGTCATTTTACCAATTATATCATCCTACAAGGATTTATTTTGCTCATAATATTCTAGACCTTGCTATATTTCTTTCTTTTTATTTTAAATCAAAGCATTAGGTTTTTTTCTTTCATGACAGGATTATTAATGCATATTGAGTTCTCTACCAAGCTTTGTCTCGATGTCTTATTTATTCCTTTTCACTTCTAATTGGTTACCATGTCTTTTCTATCAGGTGTTTTTTTATTGAAGCAGCATTTAACTGAAATTCCATCTTGAGGTAGTTAATGAAGACTTTTTCAGAAGCCCACGTTTTGGCTTTTTTATATGTTTCTCTCAGGCAGCCCAAATCATAAGCAAAAATTGAGGGCAGACAGTTGCTCTTGACTGGGAAGTCACTGGGCCATATATGTAAACAAGGACACTGTAGATAGTTTTGGTGCCCTTGATTGCCATGTTACATCCCTCTGCTGCAGGTTGAGATAGAGATGGAGCATTTTCCGGAGTTTGAAAATGATGTGGAGTTCACTGAGCGACTCATCTCGGAGCAGTCTGTGTTCTGCTTGCCAGCCACGGTGAGCCTAACACTGAGAGCCCCAAGGAGCTGCGAGGTCAAAGCAGGGTGGGAGAAACTGTAGGGGTTTGCATCCCTGAGCTCTGAGGACAGGCTGGGAGTTGTGTATGCAAGTGTCCATAGTAATGTAATAGCGTGTAGGAGCTGGCTGTCAGCTCCCCGTGCTGTGTGTGGCAGTCTCTGGCTCACTAACAGCCCTCAGTCAGGCTGCCAGGATCTTCCCAACTCCAGACTTGCCCAGTATTTCTCAGCCTGGCAGAGCTGTATCCCTGAAATCCATATACCCCACACTTCCTTGCTGAAGGTGCTCCATCAGAGGAGTGCTCCCACCTGTGTTCCTTTCCTCAGTCTGTTTCCAGTCCCTCACCCCTCCAGACACAGGGAAGGCTGAGAACATCTGTGCCTTGCATTCACTTCCAACACTGAATATGGACAGGGCCTTAAATATTCTCCAGCCCTCTCCTTTGCTAACTCCTTTCAGCCCATTCCCTGCACAGTCTGGTCTGCACAGTTCACACAAAGTCCTCTGGCCTGTCCCCCTCACAGCGTCATGTCTACACTGATGGAGATGGGAGATTTGCTTGGAACAGGAAAAATGGTCTAAGGCAGCAAGAACCAAGCCCTCCTCTTCTACAATGACTGTATTCATGTACTGATGCAGCTCATGGTGCCAAGGCAGGGATCTAAAACTGGCACTATCCCAGGTAATCTGCCAGCTCCATCTTTTCTCATTTCAGTGCTTTGAGTACCCAAACTTCTTCCGCGTAGTGACCACCGTGCCCGAGGAGATGATCTTGGAGGCCTGCAGTCGCATTCAGGAATTCTGTGAGATGCACTACCAGGGTGCTGAGGGGGCCCAGGATCTGGAGTGTGACAAGTAGCTACAGCTGGCCCCCTGCCTCTGTCAGGCTAGACCTTGTATGAGGCAGCAGCTGGGCAGGCAAGGCTGCTTCCAGCCAGCCCCACCTCTCCCTGCCTGTATGCAGCCACTGTCCTGCTGCTTCACTTTTTGTGCTCCACAGACTCCTCAGCATTATGGAAAGAGGAAGACACTTCTCTCTCCTCCTCCACTAGAGCTTGCACATCCTCTTGCTTCCAGTCCCCTATGTCTCTGTAGACTCGGCATCTGTGCCCTGTGTTGTTCTGTGCTACCTGTGAACCAGCTGCAAGCAGGGGCAAAAGGTTGTTCCTGGGTTGGGCCTGTGGCTCCTATGTTGGCCACACTTCCCCTTGGGGACAGGAGAAGGCTGCTGTCCTGGAGGATAAGAGAGAAGTACCCACCTCGCACTTCTCTGTGTTACCTTAGGAGGCCAGAGCTCTTTATACTGAGCCCTTTGCGTGATAAAGGGACTAAGTTATTGTAACTTTTTTACTAATAAAAATTCTGACATGGCAGTCCTGCACTGTCCTACTGTTGCGCTAGGTTAGGCTTGGTCACTGTGTGGGTCACCTTTGCTCACCTCATGGTATTGCAGTGCACCAGGCACGTGCCTGCGTGCCCAGGGCCATCCTGTGTGCTGGCGGGGATATGGTGAGAGTGATTCAGACCCCCAAAGAAACCCACCAACCCTGAGAGCAGGATGGGCCCTGAAAGCTTGACCCCAACTGGAGCCAGCCCCTCCTGCCCTGATGGTGTTGGCAGCTTGCTGTGGCAGCCTGTCCTCTCCCCACAATACAGTAATGTCTGCACCTTCTCCTTGGCCCTCACAGCCTCCCCCAGTGTGGAGCCCAGCAGAGCAGTGAGTGCTGTGCTTGCTGCTGCAGGGAGGCAGCTGTCCCCAGGACTGGAGCCAGCCATGCCTAAATACTCGAGGCCTGGCATGCCTTTCCTGCTGTACTGGTGAATCATGGGGTGGCACCCCATGGCTCATACTATATGTGGTGTTTGTGACGTGCCAGTGGTACCAGGGTTACTGATTGCTGAATACGTCAGCTCCATAAAGTAATAAGGAACTGGTGGCCTGCTGTTGTCTGTTTATTCAACGGAAATGGGAGGAGATGATAATGGCTATTGCAATACTTGTTCTGGTCACATGTACAGGTGAGATGTTCAATTTCTGGAACTATCGAAGGGGCAACATGTGGAGTACCTTACATTGCCACCTGCAGCTCTGTTCACGTGTCCTCCCACAGGGTTGGGATCCATAGGTCAACCCTGCCTCCCCAATGACAGGAGCCAGCTCTAGATTGCACCTGGCCAGTCCTGCCAGGTTCCATAATGGTCTCTTTGTCTCCCCTTACCTTGCCCAGTACAAAGCCTGGGTACCAGTACTCCATTAGAGGGAAGGGCCAAATGAGAAAGATAGCAGTGTGTGGAAAAGTCTTTGACATGTCAACTGAGTGTCCATGCTACATCTTTTCCTTTCACAGAAAGTGATCCCAGAACAAAAAGAGAGGGAAGCTGGGGATATGAGTGAATGGTACACAGCTTCAGAGATTTCATGCCATTAGACCTTCAAATAGAGCTGAATAACCAGAACTGCTCAAGAAAAGACATTGACAAGTAACAAGCAGTGTATGAAGGGTGTGTTGGACCAGGAGACCTTTATAGCATGATGTTGCTGCATTGTTATGCCATCTTGAACCTACTACAGCTTTCATGTACCATCTGCTTCCTTCAACTCTTCTCCACATACCTTAGGTTCTGTAGCTTTAATCCCCATAATAAACAGATCCTGGTTTTAGAGAAAGCTGATCCTTTGAGATCACTTTTCCTTCAGGAACCCCTTTTCTTTCAGAAAAAAAGAGAAGTCTGTTAATATGCAAATATTCTGCAATAATTAACACAATCCTGTTTCTTTTTGACCCTGCCACATTTGAATGAAAAGGCTGAGAGAGCCAGAGACATAGGCGCATATATATATATCTCATAAATCTCAGGATTTCTCAAAGCCACATCCTCCATTGTCATCTTTTGTAAACATATCCTTTTGACCACACCTAGGTTTTCCCTGAGGCAATAGCAAACTAGCATTAAACCACAAATGTGCTAGTGTCATTTTTCAGGTATTATACTCACAGATGCTTTGCGTCACAGTGTGGGCATAGGTTAGAGCACCCTGCCAGCCATACAAACTAGCCTAAGTTGGAGTTTGGAGGTACTCTGTGCCAAAGGAAACCCCTGCAGCATTGAGACCAAGGAAGAAATCAAGACAGATCTGAAACTGCTCTTCAGAGATGCTCAGACAAGATCTGCAGAGCTTTAGCAGAGCTGCCCCAGTGGCCTTATAACTGATTTTGGGAAAATAAAGGAAGATTGGCAAGGAGGATTGTAAATACACTCAAATGCCCTGCAGGTGAAGTGTAGAAAACCACATATACTAATTGTTGTTTAGTCTTGTATGTTTGGTAAGTGGTACATCTGTCTTCATATAACATAGGCCTGTGCTAGACTTAGAACCACCCTATTGAACATGCTTGATATTCCTGCTTTGCTGTGGTAAAGATCAAATCTCAATGGTAAACTGTGCCTGCAATAATCCCTGATATACATGTGAAAACAGCAGGTTTGGTGATCCTTGAGCATGGACTAGACTCCACAGTGCTGGCATCCCTGTTTGTGTGCCTCTGCCTGGGTCCTGCTTTGAGGATTCCCTGGTTGGTGAGGTAATGGAAATAAATTTACTGTGCATTTCATCTCTGTTTTTGTGGTTGTTACTGCATGCTGTCCGTGCCGGCTCACACAGCCATCCACAGCCATCCTCCCTGTCTTAGCTGGGGAGCAGCAGTGCTATACCCTGGCACAGGCTTGCATTGTGTGTCTGGCCTTTTCTCTGCTGTGTGGGCTGGCCATGTTTAGGATTAGGGTGATTTACTTCAGATATGGGGACCCAGGCAAGGAGGCAGCCTCATGTCTAGGGCTTTCTTTGGGAAATGAAGGAACTTCTCATCTTTAAGTGTACTAGTCCTCATCTTCCAAAGGGCCTGGCAGTAGGCTCAACCCTGACAGGGAAACTGGCACTGCAGGCAAGCTGGGATAAATTGCACCTGCCAGCAATGAGATCATCAGTTCCCCCAGGTGTTTTAGGGATCTTAGTGTAGCCTGGCTCCTGGCACTGGCCTCACCAACTCCCTCTTCCAGTAGCCCTGACTGCATTCAGCTGGTCTGCAGACCAAAGGGGAGGTCCCTGAGGGTCTTCCTGCCTTGGGGCCGTGGCCTTTGGCTGCAAGAGCCTGTCTACACTAGCCTGCTCTCTACCATCGTGTAGCCATGCTGTACACCAGCAGTGGGAAGATGTGGTTTTCTAATCTGGACCAAGGAAGCAGTCTGGGGGATGATCGTGGAGGCCCTGGTGAGTCAGAGCCCAGCCTTTCCAGGAGCTCAGGTGTAAGGCCTGTGCAGTGCATGGCAGTGGAACCCAAAGGGGAGGTGTCTGTGAAAAACTTTGTATGTGAGGCCTAGCACATAACCTTGTTCTCCTGGGGCATGCTGCTGTCAGGGGCCAAAGGAGCTGACCTGCTCTGGTGGCATTACCCACCAGAGGCACATACAGGTTTCCACAAGCATGAGAAATGGCCAGGAGGAGACTGTGGATGTGAGAGGAGGTGGTAGCAGTGGGCTGGGAGACAGTACTTGCTCGAGGTGAATGGGAGGGATTTTGTAAACCAGACTGTGAGAGTGTAGAGGAGCTCTGCAGGAGAAGGAAGGCTTAGCATGGTCAAAGTCATACCACTGACAGGACAGCCACGCAAGACACACCCTCAGCAGGGTTCCAGTAGCTAGAAGGCACCTACCAAGCCAGCTGAGCTTAAAAACCAGTCAGAACAAGACTGAGGTTTTGTGTTGTACACTAGCCTTCAGCCTCAGTCCCCAGCACTGGGGAGAGCCTCCTGAAGGGCAGAAGCACTGGAATCTTCCTCATGGTTTGGCTCTCTGGCATGGGCTCTTACAGTGCTGGGAGCCCAGATCAATACCAGTCCTTTGCTTTGTCATATATTGTCTTTGTTTTCCTTATTTGTCTTGGGTCAGTGTTCCCTGAAGCTTTGCCAAAGCAAAGAGGTGTTGTCAATAGGTCTGAATGAGTTATTTCCTGGATACCTGGCAGAAATAGTTGGTGCTAGCACAGGGTCTTCTGCACTCCAGCGCATTGCATGGGCTTTTCATGCTCCAGGTCTGTTTGCTGCTGTTGCTTCTCTCCACTCTAAACTAGCTGTTCTGCTCCCCCTTCAGTTCCTGTGCTGATTTCCAGTTTTAGACTGCCTATGTACATAAAGAAGGCAGAAGCTGACCAGTGAAATTAATTCAAAAGTTGAATATATCTATTTTTTCTTACTATTTTTCCCATTTCTGTAATGTGTTGGTAAAGTATTATGTGACCTCCTTCTTTCTCTCGTGTTTTCTCATTTTCCTGTTCCCCCACCACTTGATATTAGAGTGCTGTATTACAATGAAGGCAAGAAATGATACTGCAACTGTGCAAGGGCAAGAGAGGGAGATCAGCCACTATCCTTGCTCTTGCCTGACACAACTTTGGGTTCTTGTGTGCCAATTCAGACAAGTCTATTTATCTCACAATGCCTCTAAATAAAAATATAACTTTAAAACTTACTTCAAACACAAGAAAAAAGCCACAGGCACATCAGCCTGTCCTTGCTGCCATATAGGACACCATATCAATAATTTGTCTCATTTTTCCTTGCTCTGGAAGGCATATGGGCCAATATCTGCTCTAGCTCAGAAAGAACTTGCTCTGACTGGAGTTTAACATAGGCATTGCACCTCTGCTCCTATGCATTCTCAAGCTTCTCTGACTGCTGCGTTCTTTCCGTCCTCTATGAATGATGACTTCTAAAATAACCAGGGTGACTGTAAACAGCATCCCTACCAAAAAAGACTCTTTTCTGAAAGCAGAATTCCATTCTGTTGCCGTCATCCCATTGAGAGTAATGAGCAATTGACATAGAGACTTTTTTTTTTTGTAGATTACTGTCAGGTTTGTTTACTGCAAGGAGCAGTAAACAAACTGCTTTTGAACTGTGCATTTCAAAACACAGTATAGCAGTACTCAAATCCACTGATCAGCACAGGAGACCATGCATGACGCTTGTGTGAACAGCGACATCGCAGCTTTGTGTCATACTCAGTGACATTGCAGAGCCATAAATTTTCATTTTCCTCTACAGCTTCAGAAGTGTAAGCTAGAAAACAACTGAAATTCCTCTGCTTTGAAAGGGAAACATTCACCAATGCATAATCACAGCATTGACTCTCACAGCAGCTCCCCAGCATCATACCTTTGAGATGCAGAAAATATGAACTATCCCATCACACACCTGAAAGTGATAGAGATTTTGGCAGCATGATTACCATGAGCTGCTTTATATATCAGCCTGGTATGAGTTGTGCTTTTCAGAGCATATAACAGCATAGGTTAATTGTGTAGGTTGAAGCCTAAAAATAGGGAGAAATTACTCCTGTGTCTTGATTTTAAAAATTGTGATTATACCAAATACAGTTTTTATTGTACGTCCATGGCAGAGGAAAGTAGTTCCCACAACATGCAGCTAAATGTACCCATATTGCCAGGAAATCCTGTTGCTGCCAAAAGTATCTTAAGTTCAAAACAAGACTGGAAAAGTGAATAGAAAAATATCTAGGTGATATAAAATGCAAAGACAAACTTGATCTGAACTGATTTTAGACAGCTTCTGTCTACTGACAGACATCACTCTCCACTCTTGTCACAGCCAAGAGAAAGAAACAGGACCTTCCAGGGCATCACTCACTAGCTTATTTTTACCATCTGCATTCAGAGAGGTGAATAGTGTACTGCAGATCCCTGGCTTCAGGGAGGAAATGTTTTTCTTGTTCTCTCCCCTAGGCATCTCCTCTAGATGATGGCAGAAGACAGAGCATGGGGTTAGTCAAACCTTAGAGCTGATCGGGTTTCACTGCCATAGGTATGCCTGGTTCTCTTATCAGCTGTCAAAAACATGCTCTCAGGTAGGGAGGCATCTCCAGTGTAAGCACTGTGGAGTTAAACTCTAGTCTACACCATCTGCGTTACTCCTCAGCCTACTTCTGTTGCTTCTGCACTGGGTCAGGTGTGATCTGTTTATGCATGCTTGGGAGCACAGTACATGTTGCTTACGTCTTCAGGGTGTAAGAAAAACAAAGTGTGATTGCATGGGCAGTTCACAGAGATCACTAGTCTCTGAGTCCACAAAGTGAGGGTAGAAAATAGAAATGTGTCATTCCCTGGGCATACTGCAACAGGCCTTTGTTTTTCCTGTGCTGAGGAGCCCAGAGCTGGATGCAGTATTCCAGGTGGGATCTTGCCAGAACAGAATACAGGGGAAGAATCTCCTCCTTCATCCTGCAGCCCATGCTGTTGGTGACACACAGCCCAGAACATGACTGGTTTCTGGGCTGTTAGCACACATAGCTGGCTCATGTGAAGCTTCTTGTCCAACAACACCTCCAAAGTCCTTCTTCGTAAAGCTGATATCAACCCATTTTCCACATGGCCTATATTTGTGCTTGGGGTTACTCCAACCCTGTATGCTTCTGCTTTGCATCATAAAGCTTTTGAGTCAGACAGGGGAGCGTGTTGTTTGTTTTCAGGAGCCAGAGGTTTTGTCCTTCAAGTGTCACAATGTGCAGGTCTCAGGAAATACAGTGTGCCAGACTAGTTTGTCCTCCCAAATCTCAAATCCAAGGAAGAGCATATTCTCCTCCTCTGTGCAACTGCTCATACTACAGAGGAGGCCCTGTGGAAAGCCCAGACTAAAATCTGGGTCATGGCATATATACAGGTAGAAAAATCTGTTCAACTCTTTGACAAGATGACTGCACAGTAGTATTCAGTGCTGTCATAAAGCCTACATATTGATGCCAAGGGATCAGCCTTTCTTGGGCAAACTACATACGACTGGAACAGAAGTTTTGATCCATCTTTTTTCATGCAACTGTTAGACAGGGAGAAATAATCCTTCAGGAAGAGCTGCTCAAGTGGTGTGGTCTTTACAAAGGTTTTCTAACACCAAATGACGTACAGGTAAATCCTGTGTGTCAGTGCAGAGCATGGGAACACATAGCAGAAGTCCAGATTGCACCGAAAATTGCATGGTCCTCCACAGGGCCCTACCTGGACCACTGCCAACTTCTCACCTTGTTTCCCAGCCCAGGGTTACCAGGGCTTGACCGTCTGTGTTTGCAATGCAACAAGTGAAAGGGAACATGACCTGCCCCATTCAGATTGTTCCTCCTGCTGGAAGCACCAGCCTTGCCCAGATTTTTTTCTTTTGCTGTCTCCTATATTCCACTTGCCTTTAGAGCAGCAGTGAGGTCATTGGGAACACAGAGGACACCATTATGAGGTCTAGATGTCTCCAGACTGTGTGACAGAATCTATGAGATCTGGAATAGGAATGACCCAAAGCAACTGTCCCTGTGTGTAAGTATTTGTCTTGAGCCCAGTGCTGCCCTGTTTCACTACCTTACCTGGCACAGTCCCATTGCAACTCCAGCACCCTTGTGAATCATTAACTGGCCAAGTCCAGCTGCTCCTTTCACGCTTCTCCTTTCACACAGTTTTCTTTCTCAGCCCCTAAATGTTTAATTCAAGCAAGGTACAGACAGAGAAGAGTAAAAAGGATTTTATGTGAATCTGTATCTGCTGACAAGACAAGCAGCCAGAGCAATGGTAGGAAAGTATGCCCTATCTCTGCACTCATGGTGGGCAAGCTGATCCTCTTTGCAACTTGTTTGTCCTTTGCTCTGACATGCTACAGACATCCCTGTTCCTGCTCTTACAGGCAGCAGTCTTTTTTGGGGCTTGTAATAGGAGTTTAAAGTATCTCTCAGTCTCCTTCATGAACTTTCTGGCCCTGTTCCTTTACTAGCAGTGCCTGGTCATTCACACCCCTGCAAGAAACTGCCATTTCCGTACCTTTTGCTTAGTGCAGGGTGGAGTTTTCTAGTTTAAGGCTGGTCAAAGTAGGCGGGCAGTGTAGAGCAGTCAGTCTTAGAGATGGGATGTACACAAAGAGGACAGGGAGGGGCAGGCACAGGTGTAGGTAGGAGCTAAGTACACGTGTATGTGAGACCCCAGGATGAAGACAGAGCGCCTGTGCATGAATGCACTGTTGTTTGTTTGACTGCCTGGAGGTGTGTGTACCACAACAGCGAACGTGTGTGTGGGCAACTTTGCTTGAATCAGGTCTGGTGATGCTTCACAAGAACTTGTTAAGGTGAGATTTTCAACCATTTCTTGGTATCTAATGTAGTTGCTCTTGATGCCAGCAAATTGCGACAATTTTCTGCAGACAGAAGCTATGGGTCTGGCTTAGAGGGTAGTTCCTGCTTCTCCAGACAGTCTTCTCAGTGCCCTTGTTCAGCTTCTCCCACTAGTGACAGTCATGCCAGCTGCTCACCCCTGAATGGGCAGACAACTTCTAATTCTGCAGAAACGGACCAGGCCAAATTGAAGCAGCGTTTGAAAAAACGGTGAGCAACCATCAGTGCCATCAAAGACCAGTGACAGAAGCTTCTCTGGTGCCAATCCTCTTTGCTAGACTGGGGCCGCTACAGCAGTGGGGAGCCTGTACACGTCTGGAGAACTCCCTCAGACTGGCAGAGCACTCAACATTGGTTTGCACAGCACAAGGTGGGTTTGGGCCGTAACTGCCTCACACCTGCCAGAGAAATGCACATGTTCAATAAATTCCCTGTAATCTGGGGATATGGTGCCTAATGCTGAGGGCTTTTCATGGGTACATTTCCCTTGGGCTGCTTGCTGCTTTCTTTAACACTTTCTCTTTTCCAGGATCAAGCTTTTCCAAAGTCTCTATGTGTTTCTAGAAAAGCCTAAGTCTCTGCTTTTTTTTTTTTTTTTTTTTTTTTTTTTTTTTTTTTTTTTGAAACAAGCTGCTCCGGCAGTATTTTAATACCTTTGCCGTGGGAGACACTAACATGTTGACACTGGATTGTTGTACTTTTCGATAGTTTCTATATTGCATCCTCTGTGCCCTGAGATTCTTCCACTTCTTTCTGTTCTCAACAAAATCTTGGCTCTTCTCTGTTAGCACACACACTGCTAACAGTGTTCTTTTCTTGTTCTGCAGCTGAGATTGTCTCAATTATTCTGGGCTGATCTTTACTTGCCAGCTCTGTGAGAACTTCATATTTTCACTTTTGCAATATGAAATTAATTCTATCACTGGTGACTGTGGATGTTTGCTGTAGAGAAAATGTTAAGCTTAAGACCTTGGTTTAGAAACATCCCAGCTCCCATGATTGAGAAATACAGTGGTGAAAACTAAGGTTATATAATTAGTATTTATCTCATATTAGGGAATGTATGATAGATATAGTATGATGCTGCCCTTCCTCTTCACCAGGCACACAATTCATTTCAGTCCTTCTACTCCCTGTGGAACAGACTTGTGATGGCAACAATTATCGCTACTTCTTATATGAGTGAAGAAGTTGTTGAAACTGTGGTCTCACATGAGGTCATCTGCTGCTTTCTATCAAAAGCAGTCACTTTGTGAAATATCTAAAACATCCAGCTATCCCACCCTGGGATAAAAGTATACTCTTGTTTCCTGAAAAAAACCTGATTTCATTCTCATACTCGGGCAATTCACATGTAGGTTTCCAAAGAAACAACTATTTCTGTGGTTTTAAATCTGCCTGGGTGTCTACCTTCATGCCATTGTTCATGTCTGCTCAACAGAATTTTTCTCAATTATTAGCTTCTGGCTATATTCCAGGAACTTTGTCAGGAGTTAGAATAACAATATTAATGGTGCCAGATGGAAGCGATATCATCGAAGTTCATTTGGAAGCCAGGACTTTTGGTAAACACTGCTTGTATTCATTTGGAAGGAAGAACCTGATATATCACTTATTTTCACAACAGTCTTTGTTTGCAGCTCTTCCTAGGGTCGGTCCAAATAGCAACCTGATTCAGCTCCTTGTCAGACCTGAACACTACAGGCCATTTGTGTAACCAAAAAAAATCAGAGGGCTTCTTGTCCAGGAGACAGGAATGATGTGGTCCCTCTCTAAATGCACAGCCCCATCCTTGCCAGACATTACTAAAGTAAAATTCATACTGTGGTAGCACGTGTTGGCAACCACCAGAATTACCCATTAGGCTGGGTATTGTCCTTTCTCCAAGAAATTATAATTGCTGCCTTATAAACCCTAAGCTCAACACAAATTCACAGCAGGTTACTAAGGTAAAAAAGCCAATTTATGCATGTATGTTGGAGGCACAGATTAGTACTGCTCTTTATTGGTTAGCAGCAGTGACTGTGAAAATCTAAAACACCAGTACTAGAGGAACTGAAATCATGGGAGGAGGCACCCCTGTGCAAATTAGTCTGAAAGATTTGCTGCAGAGGAAAATTGAGGCAGGGCATAAGGAGGAGGCTAGGGAAACTTTGGGAACATTCAAAATTACTGTGGACCCAGATGGCGTGGCAAGCATGCAGTAGGGAGGCAATGTCTGCATTGCAGCTGAGTTGTTTTATACCTCTGCTGCTTGAGTAGAGGGGCTGGTGCTCGGCATGGGAGTAGCTGCTTGGGTCTCATGCAATAGGGACTGCACAAAGGGAGCATACGAAGCTGTAAGGGCCCGAGCTCGGATGCTGCTCTGTATGGGATTAACATCTTGCCCTAAAAGCCCTGCTCTCTCCGTCCTGTCCTGCTGTGCATCCCCCGGAAGGACTGACCATGGCTAGGAAACAGAAAAGTTTTTTCAGTTTTAGTTCACCTTAGAAAATACAAAGCAGTTGCACTAGCAAGAGAGGTCTGTCTCCACTGTGGCACAGCTAAACTGACAAACCCGGCAGATGGTGCTGGGGAGCACTCCATCCTGCCTGGCTTCAGTGCTGCACACGGATCCTGCCCCCAGGGGCAGCCCATGCTGCAGGACACCCAGCCTGTGTTTGAGGCACCGTCAGGCACTGCTGGGTGACAGAAGGAGAGCGCACAAGACAGGAGTAATAGGCAAAATGTCCTTTAATGTATTTTTTAAAAAATCAATTAATTCTTTCTGCCTCAGATCCCATCTTCAGTGGTGTATTTCCTCCAGATTACTGTGCCAGCTGATATTCAGGCTATGAATTCTTTTTGTGGTATTTTCATACCATGTCCCCAATGGCATGGAAGTTTTTAGACACTTTCCGTTCCGTAATTCAGTTCATCCTCCACAGGCAGAAGAGAGGTTTAGTGTATGAAACAAGGACCCAGCTTTGGGCAGACCTTTGAGTTCAACTAGCACATTCTTTTGTATGTCTCCTCAAAAAAGACCAATAGGATGAGTGGGCTTGGAGGGAGGGACAGCAAGTGACAGTCTCTAAAAAGGAGTTAGGCTAAGAAGAGGATTATTGTGGCAGGTAAGAAGTTAAACCTGCCTACAAAAAGATGAGTCTTCCTAGCAAAATTGCCTACAAAGCTCTGTCTGGAGGAGATACTGTTCTTGGATTTATTACAGTGCCAAGCTTCTTCCTTTGGTAACAATACATGTGTGGTGACAATAAATGTTTCCTGAAATTTCAAAAGGAGTATAATCAAAACAAAAGGAAACTTACATTGTATGTTTACAGCATTTTGGCATAAAAATAATTGTAAATATTAGTCAGAGTAAGGTGTTTAAAAGTAAAATGTGGAACTGTTGAATTCTGAACACCTCAGCAAAAAGGGAAGGTTTGCATTTTTCCTCCATAAAAATTGGCAGGATCATTTGCAGGGATTATGCACATGAAGTACACATTTGTCTGTACTGACTTCAGTTCACTCAACTAGCTGTTAAACTTCAATAAAAGTACAGACAAGCTTTTCACTATCTTCTAAGACTGTATTAGAGTGTCTTCCTGACAGACAGTGGTTTTGCTGCAGAAAACCTTCAGCCCTGCAGTACTTATGTCCTTTGCAAAGACACCTTGTGTGGTGGTTGTCACAGTGTCACTAGTAGAGTGGCAGCTTTCAAAATCTTGTGCCTGCAGAGGGATGCACAGGAGCCTGATGCACCACATCTTGCCTTTTTCATCATCTTGTGATGCTGAACTTCCTCTGTCTCTGCAGGTCCCTTGCAATCATGGTGAAGTCTAGAAGAGTGCAGTTGCTCCTGATTCTGGTAGTTCTGTCCTTCCTTCTTATCCACTTCCTACCCTGCAGCAACGATGCCCATATGGAAGGAAAACCTTCTCCTGTCCACATCCTCATTCTCTCCTCCTGGCGGTCAGGATCCTCCTTCACTGGACAAATCTTCAGCCAGCATCCCAGTGTCTTCTACCTGATGGAGCCTGCATGGCACGTGTGGGTTAAGATGTACCAGAGCAGTGCCAAAGTCTTACACATGGCAGTGCGGGACTTAGTCAGGTCGGTCTTTCTGTGTGACATGTCTGTGTTTGATGCTTACATGTCTAGCCAGAAGAAAAAGTCTGATTTATTTCAGTGGGAGACAAGCCGAGCCTTGTGCTCCCCACCTGCCTGTGACTCATTCCGTCGCAGTGACATAATCACTGCAGACAATTGCAAAACCATCTGTGGCAAGTACCCATTCAGCAAGGTGGAGGAAGCTTGTAAAACCTATAGCCACGTTGCCATCAAGGAAGTTAGGTTCTTTGACCTGAAAGTTCTCTATCCCCTTCTCACCGATCCATCCCTGAACCTCAAAATAATTCACTTGGTACGTGATCCTCGGGCTGTGTTCAGGTCCCGAGAGAATACAGTGCAAGAACTGAAACACGACAGTAACATTGTTGTGGGGTTTCAGAAGGCAAAGGGAGAAATGGGGCCCTACAACACAATGCAGGTAATCTGCAAAAGCCACGTTGAGATATACAAGGCAGGAAGTCAGGCTGCTCCAAGCTTCCTGAAAGACCGGTATCTGCTGGTTCGCTATGAAGACATTGTCAGAGACCCTCTAGCAAGGGCTGCTGAGATGTACAGGTTTGCAGAACTCCATTTCACACCAGAGCTTCAGAAGTGGGTCCACAACATCACCCATGGAAAAGGTGATGGAGCACGGGCCTTTGATATTGGGTCAAGAGATGCACTGAGAGTATCCCAGGCCTGGAGAAACGCACTTCCCTTCCAGAAAATAGAAAAAGTGCAAAATGTGTGCAAAGATGCAATGGATTTGCTGGGCTACCGGCTTGTTCAGACTGAAGAAGAGCAGAAAAATATGTCTCTGGATCTTTTGTTTGCCCAGAACTCCTCTGAGTATCAAATTTTGAAGGCAGAAAAGCTGGTCTCTTAATCTACTTTCTGAAGGCTGCAGAGTGCTGAACTATTCACTAGAGCCAAGGAGGACAGAGGTGCAGGCATAGAGGTGTAGGAGCGTGCGTGGATGCAAGAACAACTGATACAAGAACCCTGACTACATTCGGGAGAGCTCTCAGCAGCACAGGGTCACTCTCCAAAACCCCTGGAGAGACAGCCACAATGGAGGTTAAAATAATGCAAGTTTGTTTTCCAAATTAATTATGTTTAGGTTGGAGCGCACAGAATGCCAAAGGAGTAGGACCAAATGGCAGAAGCTCAAACCCACCACAGACCACAGCTGAAGACTAGAGAAACCACATGGAGCAATTGCACTGCCAAGGAGGAGGAAAAATAAAAGGAAGCTGAATAAAGAAAACATTGCTTGACATGCTGCCATGCAGGATATGTAGTGCCAGAAAAGATGCAAGGATGACCAGACATTTGATTTCTGGAAAGACGTTGAGCTTTGTTTTGATTTTGTGTTGGTTTTTTTGTTTTGTGGGTTTTAGTTGTTTTTGTGGTGTTTGTTTTTTTTGTTTTTTTTTTTTAATGGTTGCATTTTCAAGTCCAGTTTTCCTTTTGCTCCATTTGTGTGCCTGAGTATCCAGCCTTGGTGGCAAAGGTGGGGAAATGTTTGTGTTCACTTACTGTATTATGGGAAAATGGAATAAACCAGCTAATGCTGAAAATAAAAACTCCTGGGTTTTCATGTGGGAAACTATTTCTGTGATTATGTGAATCCATTTATTTTTTTAGTTGAAATAATTCTGTCTTCTAGCTTTCATACCCAAGAACAGTTGTTTTCCTGGGAATTCTCACAGTCCACATGGGTGGCAGAAGAATTCATGCTAAGGTTGGGATCCTAAAGACAAGGTAAAGACGTAGATTTCATTAGCATAAATACCAAAACTGAGAAGACAGGTTAATGGGAGTAGATTGAAGAAACCAAGAGAAGATCAGGAAGTTCTCTTTTGAAATATTTGGTGAGAGTATTTCTAGTCTTGGAGCACAAAAAAATAAATTTAATGGACTATGCCATTCTCCCACCTCCAATGGGAATATATAGTTCAAATCTGAACAACTGAATGGTTTTCACCTGTTTTAAGTGTTCCAGAAGGAGAAAAACTTGCTACCAGATTTGGGGAGGAGTGAAATGCCTACAGATCCCTATTTCTGAATATCCTTTTCCATGTGTAAACTGCAGAGTCCCTTTAACTTAGAACACTCACTACCTTAGCAATACGGGTATCTGTATTCCTAGAGCTAAACCCCTAATCCCTGAAAAGGGTGGGATATTGTATTATGGAAATAATAGTCTTATTACTAGGGATCATGTTGAAGGACAAATTCCATGCTGAGCAGGCAGCATTGGCCTCATGGTAGTAAATTCACTGAAAGCAAGGTATCCTCCTTTATACTGTGTTTATGCAAATTTAGGGCAGGCAAGCTGACATAGAGAAGTGGGAGTTGCACTAAGGAACAGAAGCACAGAGCCACTGTTTTTCTTTATAGTCCCTTTAAAATAGACCTTAACATATTCGGCTAAAAGCAGCTAAAAGCCCGTTCTTACTGAAGTTATAGTAAAGAGCTTCCTCCTGTAAGTGCTAATCAGCTGGATTTTGAGCAAAAATAGATTCTGTTTGGTACATTGCCACTTATCTCGACATTAACCAATGCCAGCTTGAGTGGTTTAAGTTTTATTATGAATACTTGTTTTCAGTGGATGCAATTCTGTGTACCATGTGTTTACCTGAATAAAAGCCTCCACGGTGTTTCCAGTCAGTAAAAAAATAGGGTAAAAGTAACATATGATGCATTTCCATAATGTACTGTTTTGAAAATTACTTACACCTCTGCTTCCTAAGCTTAATCAGAGAAAATGCAGAATTGTTGATTCCAGTATGTCTTTATTACAGTCCTTTAGGTGTGTTTCCTCAATACAACAATTTATAAGATTTTCTTTTTTTCTGGAAACAGCAAAGTCCGCTGCCAGTCTCGTTACATGAAAATGTAAAGTTGTCTTGATTTGAGCAAAAGTAACTTAAAATACTTTTTGGAGGAGGAAAAGAAAACTCAACAAAAATCCTCGAAAATCTCAAGATGCTGATGGTGACATGTAAAACTATGACTAAGTCCTTCGGCATATGCAATAAAGATCACAGAAGTCTGTTTAAAAACAAACATTAAGTTTACATTGTACAAGTTTAAACTCTGGTTTTATACCAATGAAATGTAAGATGGCAAAGTCTCCAGTCAAAAGGACATTTCAAAGCTGACTCCATGGTATTCCTGTCTGTTGCTCTTCAAACTAGTGCATACAATCAGTTTTTCTTTGGTAACTCTAGTTATGAAAGCATAAAAATTAATTTATTTTGATGAATGCTGGCTAACTCTAAAAGGAAGCAAACAGGTAATACCCAAATTCCAGCTAATTGTTTGTAGACCCAGAATTTCTGGGTTACATTTATTTGGTTACATCAGTTAACTCCTTGAGTAATCAGTAGGTGCTGCAGTGGTTTCCTGAAACAGCAGTCTCATTATATTGTTTTTTATTTTCGATATAATTTTAATTTGGCTTAACATCAGCCATTTCACAATCCACTTTAATTTTCTGAGTGCCACAGTGCAATATGCTAAAAACCTAAAATGTTGACTCTTTAGAGAGGTTAAAAAACAGACAAACCAAACTTCACCTTTGCCAGCCCATTTTATTTCACCAAAAGAATGAATTCCAGATTTTTAGGACTCACTTCAGATAGTATTACAATAAGTAACCAAAGCACAATTTCAGGCTAAAAGTACTGAGTTTTTCAGATTATGACTTTATCCTAGTAATAGTGTTCTCTCTCAAATGCAGCTTAGGTGACAGATACATAACCTCTGATAATTCCCTCTTAACATTCATTTCCTACTTCAACTATTACTCATAGCCCTGAAAGCGGGTGTATTTTTCCCAAGCAGAATATATGGCCTGGTACAAGCATTCCTTTGATTAAAGCAGCTGCATCTTAGCTCTGCAGAGAGGCAATACAGGCCTTTTAATACAAAAAAACCCCAAAAAACAAAGCATTTCTGAAAACTTCAGAACTGCCATCAAATTTTCCACTGTGTTTCTGAAATGACTATTACACTTCTGCAACTGTTCTGGATCAGTAATGTCCTCTTGTTAAGTCTCTCTAAACACTATCCGCTTTGCTACGTTTTCAGCTCCAAATTTGGCTATCAATTTATTTCTGACATGTTCATCATCCTTTTGCAATTCTAAATCATCCCCTCTGCTCCATACAGGGTACCCATCCAAGCGCTGCCCTGTCTGCAGAAAGTATGAAGTAGCTTCCACGTCACCGCTGTTTTTCAGAAAGGCCTGTGTAACAGTGTGCAGGTCCACAGCAAACTTCTCCATGAAGTGCTCCATAGTTTTTATTACCTGTCCCACCACAGTGGAAGAAGAACAAGTGCTTTGTGGTCTTTCTTGCCTTTGTAACTGAATGTCAGGGAAAGCAGAGTCCTCTGGCCCAGTTTTCAGCTCAGATGCTGCTTCTCCTGGGGACCTTCTCACTCCATCTTGTGTGGAAAGTTCTGCAACATCTGAAGAGTCACTTTCTGACTAACAGTAAGAGAAGTGGAATCACCAATTAGAGATGGTATTTTCTGGCAAATCTTTTACCACTGCAACCAACCACCTTTTACTCTGACTCCACAGTGTATTAAAACCTCAGAAATTAGTAAACATAGTAAAAGTGAGTGACTGAAGCAAAGCCATATGTGTTAATGAGGCTGCACATGATCACAGAAATCCATAAGCCATAAGAGAGAATTTGAACAAACTAAGCATAAAAGGCAAAAGTAAGTGTTTATGCAATGGCAGGAACGTTTTTTGCCTGAGGTGAAAGGATGACTTTCATTTGCTAATACAGTTTTTAATGTGACAACCCCCACTACATAAACCTCCTCATGCTAACTTGCACAGGGAAGAAAAAATGCACCAGCCAGGCGCCATTTATCGCAAACCACATAGATGACAGCTCACAGTTCAGCCAGGGCAGAAGGGATATCGCGGTGCAAAATAATTTCATGTGCCAATCATGAGTTTCTATTGTGCCATCTGTGACAGCGGGGAAGGCCAGCCCCGAGCACTGCATGCAGTGGAGGCTGCTGCTCCCCAGGCTGGCCCCGGTCGCTCACCTCCGTGCTTTCGAACTCCCGATTAGCTGCCGCGAACAGACCCCTGATCTGCGTGGGATCCTCCGTCTGCGGGGGCTCTGCGGAAATACGCGCGGATCGTCTGCCAGGCCACAGCGACCAACGCCGGTCGCCGCCACCACGCCCCCTCGCAACCCTGCCCCGCCGCTGTGGCCCCGCTCACCCCAAAGCCGCGGCAGCAGGTGCCTTAGGTAGCGGTCACGCATGGCCTGCCAGCTGTGCCGCGTCAGGCCGCTCTGCTCCAGCTCTACCCACAGCGCACGGCCGCTCACCCGCACCATGCCCTGGCCGCGCACCGCCTGCAGCAGCGCCGCATCCTCCGCCTCCGTGAAGGCCAGGCGGCCGCGGGCTGTCAGCAGGAAGGGCTCCAGCGGCAGCCGCTGGTTGCGCTTCACGCACTCCGCCACGTACTCGGTTGAGACGGCCCCGTCGGGAGCCACCTCGCCGGGCTGCGCCAGGAGCACGGCCCCTGGCTCCTGCACCCGACACAGGCGCCCGCCGCCCGCCAGCACTAGGGGCGCCAGGCGCAGCTTGGCTAGGCCGGGCCGCAGGTAGAACCGCATAGGATGCCCGTCATCCCACAAGAACAGCGATCGGGATCGCGCTGCTCCGGCCTGGCCGCCCGCCATGGCCACCCCAGCTCCGCCCGCCGCCATCACCGCCTGCGCAGGCGTGCAAGGGCGGAAGGGCGGAGGCGGCGGCAGCTGCGGGGCGATGATGGCGGCGGCGGCGGCGGCGCGCGAGTGCAGCGTGGAGGAGACTGAGTCGCACCTCAGCAAAAAGTGAGGGTGCGCGGGTGATCAGGTGGGGCCGGGCCGGGGAGGTGAAAGTGAAGTGTGTCCAGCTGATCCGGCGCGTTGTCTTCGTCAAGGCGCCCGTCGGAGCGCTATGCTGAGCTCCGGCGCTGCGCGGCTCCGCAGCTGGGTCTGGAGGGCCGCGCCCGCGCTCCGACGGCAGCAAGCGCTTCATGACCAAAGCAGGTCGGTGCTTTGCGTCTGGCTTGGCCCGCTTCGTTCCTTATGGAGTCGTGGAAGGTGGGGTCAGGAGCGCGACGGGAGCCTGAGGGCCATGGGGGAATAGGCTAGACCGCGAAGGTGGCTTCGGGAACCCTGCGTTACTTAGGGGGGAGTTTGCCTTCTCTCACACGCTGCGTAGGGCTGATAGGCTCTTAGGGACAAAATGGAGTGCTTCAAGTCCTTGAGCATGTAGGCACGCGTCGTCAAGGTCTGTCTAAACTATGTTTAATTTCGCTTTCGCTTTCTGAGAGTGTGTCGTAGGGGATGAACTGAAGGAGTTCAAAGTAGAAAATATTTTAACGTGTTTAAGAATTATTTTACTATTGGAAAAAGTAAGAGACGTGGTAGGTTTATTTGTACAGTTAGGTTTTGGCAGATCCTGCCAATAATTTTCCTGTAGAAGTATTAGAGTACTTGCTGCATCCGGTTTCTTTCTCTTTTGTAGTGAGCTGAAGAGACGTTTAAAGGCTGAGAGAAAAATAGCTGAAAAAGAAGCAAAGCAGAAAGAGCAAAGTGAAAAGCATTCAAATAAGCCTTCCTTGACTTCTGAGGATAATGTTGGTACTGATGAGGAGAGCTTGGATCCAAATGTGAGCATCTGGTCCCATGCTTATTGGATGTTCTGTGAATCGGTCTTACTGACTTGCATTTGATTTTTTTATTCATGGGTAATTAAAAGGTTAAAAGGGGAGAGATGTATATTCCTACATTAGGGCAGCTGCATTTTAAATTCACAGCCTGTATGATATTTCCAGATTCTGATAAAGTAATTTGATTTTGTTTGTTTCTGGTGACAGCAATACTACAAGATCCGTAGCCATGCAGTCCAACAGCTTAAGGGCTCCAGTGAAGATCCCTATCCCCACAAGTTCCACGTTGACATATCTCTCTCAGATTTTATAGACAAGTACAGTCACCTGCAGCCAGGAGATCACCTGACAAACATTACCGTGAGAGTGGCAGGTAAAAGTTTACCTGGGATACAGAAAAATATAAAGTTTTAGCTGCTTTTATTGATGGGTTGGTCTTTTTTTAATTTTGCTGATCTCTTACTCAGTCGTGAAGCCTTGTAGCCGTGTTAAACTATTCAGGACATACCCTTCAGACTGAGTGGATCTGTGCAGCATCCCTTGCAACTATAAGATCAGGTTGTATGTAGTATGGGTTCTGGGATCCAAAGTTTTTACAGTCTTATTTCCACTAGATTTCATTTTGAGACTTAACTACTTCTCTTTCACAGTTAAATAGTTCAGAGCTGATGATTCTAAGTGATAGTACTGTGGCTTTTGCCCCTGTACCCTTTCTGGTAGGGACTCTTTTCCTGATGTCTAGCATACTTTTGATGTTTAGGTCGAATCCACGCAAAGCGTGCTGCTGGAGGGAAACTGATTTTCTATGATCTTCGTGGTGAAGGAGTCAAGCTGCAGGTCATGGCAAATTCCAGGTAAGTAGAGGTATTCCCAGCATTCAATTTAGCATTCTAGGGTCTAGATATGTGTATTTTGAGATGAAATATTCTATTTCATCTGTGGTTTGGCTTAGGCAGCCAAGTAATGTTTTGCTTTAGATGCTGTGGTTGACTTCCGGTTAAAATAAGTTCTATATATTTTTTTTTTAAAAATGGATTTTGTCTTGTAAGACACTTGGGGACAGTTTTGAGTATTGAATTTTAAATAAATGTGCTTATGTTTGTTTTGCAATTGCAGCCTCTACAAATCTGAGGAAGAATATTTCCGTGTTAACAGCAAGCTGCGTCGTGGGGACATTATTGGTGTAGAGGGGAATCCTGGGAAAACAAGGAAAGGGGAACTGAGTATTATTCCTTATGAAATCACTCTCTTGTCTCCATGCCTGCACATGTTGCCTCATCTTCATTTTGGCCTCAAAGATAAGGTATTTGTCCTACCTGTCAGTCTTGGAAGCAATTTGACAGATCATGGAATGGTTCAGGTTGGAAGGGGCCTTCGGGATCGTTTAGTTCAACATCCCTGCCATGGGCAAGAATGCCATAGATAGGTCTGAATGGATGATGTTTGTTACCTGCTGATACTATCAGTCAACAAAGGAATATTAGTTTTGTTTTGGTATTTTTTTCCTTTGGCATGACATTTTATCTAGCTCATTCTAAAGATATGTGTTCTTTTCAGGAAACCAGATATCGTCAGAGATACTTGGATTTAATTCTTAATGATTATGTGAGGCAGAAATTTATAACCCGTGCAAAGATCATCACTTACCTTCGTAGCTTTCTAGATGAGTTGGGCTTTCTTGAGGTAAGGCATCAGTGTTTTTTCTCTCTGCATACTGAATGTGTTTACAGTTTTTTAGCTTCAAGGATGTTTTATATTCAGGCTCATATACGAAGCACTTACAGAACTGACAATAATTGCCTCAGCATGGTGTTTTTTATCAGCTTAATGTAATGGGAGCAATTCCTTACCTCTCTTTGTAAAGTTAAGATTATTTATCAGTTGGTGAGGTTATGGCTTGGGAACCTATTTTGAAGGTAATACTCCAAACTACTACTGTCCTTTCCATATTTCAGTAAATTAGGGTGAAAACAACATCTTTGAAATGTTGTTTTGCCTCTGGATATAGAAGCCAATTCTATGTCCTGTAGGCAGAATTGGATTGTGTTGACCCAGGTGCAGGAAATTGCACTTGGCCTTCTTGAGTTCAGTTTTTTGGAGTGTAGAGAGAGGATTTTGTGATAATGCCACAGCACTGTTCCTGGCTTTGATAACATGAAGCCAGCAGGTTCACATTTGTAGTAAATATGAGTGACTCTTCAGAGCAACAGATGAATTTGTTATTATTGACTGGATGAAAAAAGTGCAGTTTTGTTCAGTGGACTTTAGTTTAGAATTGTTTTCATACACTGAAATGCCGAACTGTAAGTGAAATATAGATTTTTCATCAAAACTAGCTGGTTTTTTTTTTGTTTGTTTGATTTATGCATTTCTGGTTTGGAAACAGATTTCATGAAAACAGGGGAAATTTTTTTTGTTGTTACAGGTAGAAACTCCTATGATGAATGTAATTCCAGGCGGAGCTGTGGCAAAGCCATTTATCACATACCACAATGAATTGGATATGAATTTATATATGAGAATTGCTCCAGAACTTTACCATAAGGTAAAATGCAGCCTCTCATGGCTAAGCCTATACTTTTCAAACTGTATTAAAAAAAGCAAATGTAGCTAAAATGGAGATTATTTTTGAAGAAAGGTGGACTTGTCTCATGAATGAGTTTTGTAAGGTTGTGTTGCAGTTGCATGTGTTTGTGCTCTCTCAGGTTCTTTTGAGAAAGTGTATATACTAGATTTTCATTTTGTTTAGATGTTGGTGGTTGGTGGTCTGGACAGAGTATATGAAATTGGGCGTCAGTTCCGGAATGAAGGAATTGATTTGACTCACAACCCTGAGTTCACAACTTGTGAATTTTATATGGCTTACGCGGACTACCATGACTTAATGGAAATTACAGAGAAGTTGCTTTCAGGTGAAGTATGCAATTTAAAAAAGAGTAAGAATCTCTGGAAGAGTCAGTTATTATGTAGCATACTCCTTTTCTAAACCTCACATTCCTTTTGTAGGGATGGTGAAACATATTACTGGGACTTACAAGATCACTTACCATCCAGATGGTCAAGATGGACAGGCCTATGAGATAGATTTTACTCCTCCCTTCCGGCGAATTAGCATGGTGCATGATCTGGAAAAGGTCCTGGGAGTGAAGTTTCCATCAACTGAGTGTTTTGAAACTGAAGGTTAGATGCTGAGTATGAATGTCCTGTAATTCTTGATTAACAGAAAGCAGGCAAAAGATTGCCAGTTCTCAGGCTGCAGTCTGTTAGCTGCTTTTTTTGCACTAGTACTATCTTTCCTCTGGTTTTGTTGGTTTACGTGAGTCCAGAAAGAAGCGCTCATTCCTTGCTATCTTTGGCAGGATCTGACTCTTTTGGCTCTTCCTTGTTGAATGTATGTGAAAGGATATACTCAAGAAGCTTGATGTATGGAGTTCTTGATTTGTTGAAGAGATTCAGCTTTTTGCTTCTTATTTCTAATCTTATGTGCAGTTGAGTTTCCATGCTTGTAATTGTAGCTTGGGTGTATGATTATTTGGGACCTTCTTAAAAATGTAATTATGTGCTATTTTATTCCTGGAATCGAGAGACATAAGGAAACAAGTTCATATAATTTATAGTGATTGTTTTTCCCCCCCGGTTCCCTTCTCTCTTCCCCCCCAGCCCCCAAATAATAATGTCCAGCAGTTATGTGGTCTGTGCTTAACTGTTGTCAAATTTCTGAAGTATAAAATAACTACTATTTTACTGTAAACATTTAAAACCAAACACCATTTCTATAGATTAACATTTAAGCTCATGTTTTCCATGATGTCTACCATTGGGATTTTACAAGTCACTCTAAGAAATGTTGAAGGATCTAGTAAGAGCAAAACATGATTTTTGGGATGGCTGTTCTAATTTTCGTCTGCATATTCAGAAACTCGCAGGTTCTTTGATAACCTTTGTGTGGAGAGAAATGTTGAGTGTCCACCTCCCAGGACAACAGCCAGGCTTCTTGACAAAGTAAGTAAGGGTGCTATTTTTATAATCCTAATGTCTTTGAGGATCTCTCTGTGTCAGCAGAAGTCTCTTAGAAGAAAAGGTTTAGCTGCACCAGGAAAAGCATCTGCAATGCACTTCAGCTGTTGTTATATTACAGTGACAAAACTTGCAGTGTCAAAATCTTCTTTCATGTCGTCTACACCAAAGATTAGTTTACTTATGTCTGCTTAACTTGAGCATTAGGGGATTTTAGTTGGATAACTGGCTGCTTGTGTTGAAAACAGATTTGCTTTATTTGTAGGTCAGTTCTATCTGTGAGATGTGTGCATCTGTATGTAGCTGACCAAAAGGGTAGGAGTACAGTATCGTTCTGTCAGATGTATTTCTTTATTTCTGATGTACCCAAATATTGTCTGATAGCTGTTCTTTTGATGCTTTTCCTATTGGCCCTTGCTGTATTGTGCAAATTGAATTATTATACAGTTTTTACTGTGTCATTTTTCCTTGCCTGACTAGGATGCACTCTCTGTTGATGAAGACATTACCATAACTAGAAATACTTCGGAAACTTTTCAGAGTTTTGGTACCTTCTTCAGTAGCAAAAGAGAGGAAATTAGGGTGCTTGGTGAAGGCAGTGCTAGGAACGTGCGTAATTGTACACTGCATAATTGTTTCACTTTTGTTTTCCCAGTTAGTTGGTGAATTCCTGGAAGTCACTTGTATCAACCCTACATTGTTTTGTTTTTGTTTTCCCAGTTAGTTGGTGAATTCCTGGAAGTCACTTGTATCAACCCTACATTCATCTGTGATCACCCACAGGTCATGAGTCCACTTGCCAAATGGTAAGAGTATCACACATGGTCAGTGTGTAGCTCAAATCTTCTGCTTAATCAATTGGAAAAAAAAAAAAAAAAGTTGCATGAGTGAAAACAGATTTTGATGTTGCATGCTAGTTTAGGAATTCTAACACAAACCAAGATAGACATTGCTTCCTGAGCTGTGAAACCCATCATCCAGGGAAGAGGTGTGTCAATGCTTAGTACTTTGAAATTTTGACAGCTGTTAGTGCTAAGTGTGAGCAGTGCCCCTAAGTAATGTATGTGCTGTTTGCTTCTGTAAGTAAGATTATTTTACGGTATGTCTGTTTTGTCTGCTTCACATAGGCATCGCTCTCTGCCGGGACTAACAGAGCGCTTTGAGCTCTTTGTAATGAAGAAGGAAGTGTGCAATGCATACACAGAACTTAATGATCCTTTCCGACAGCGTCAGCTTTTTGAGGATCAGGCCAAGGTATGGTGTCATGCTGATAGTGAATGTAATACAGGCATGTAAGCAAAGAGTATTTCCTATGTCTGTCCCAAATCTGTTGTTAATACCTACTGCTGAAAAGAGTTGTTACTGCTTTGAGTGAGTGTTCGTCACTCAAGTAAAAGTCTGTCATTAAAATGCCATTCCTTTTATAGGAATCTTGCTCTTTAAGGTAAACAAGGTGAAATACTGCTGTTGATTAGTTTTTTTTTTAGTGCAACTTTGTTTTGGCTATCTTCCCTTTTATTCCACCTAAAGTACTAATTTGGAAAAACACAAATGTGCAAAAAGTTCTCTGTGTCTTTCCCAGGTTGAAAGGTTTTTTTTTTCCTTAGTTAAGTATTTATGTAGTCATACAACATCATACTTCTAGGTTCTTAAATAAATTTTCATGTCCTGTAAGACTTTGAATGCTAAGAGATATCTTAATTTCCTGAGCAGAGTACTAATATATTAGGTTGGCTCACGGGAGAGAGATGCACATTGAGAACTATTAGGCTTGCAGATTTATAATAGTAGATTTCTCTCTGTGAGCCTCCAAAAGGAGTGACTGAAATTCATTTTGTTATTAATTTGGTATGCACATCCATGAATGCATACTTGGCCACACATGACTGAGGTCAAATGATGTGGTCGGCAGAAACAGAGTTCCTGATCTTCATATTTTTTCTAATGGCTTCACAGTGCCTGAGAGGTTTAAACAATTGTCAAAGCCAGGAAAATAGATTTATGTTAACTAACGAACTGATAGTAAATTTCAAAATGTTCAGTCAGAATGAATAATATTACAAGTACCTTTAATTTTTGGTCTGTTATATTTATGCATGCAGCAGTTCCCTCATGATTATAGCCAGACTGCAGACATATGATTATATGTATTGAATGAAAATTAGCCTCAAAATTTAATGTAAATTTGAGATGAAGGATGACAGTTTCCTGTAGGATTTTCATTTCAGGATTTCAAGGAGAAAATTTTGCTGTTAGAGTCTTTGCAAAGTCTTCCTCGAACTGTGAGCAAAAATGTTTGCTGTTTTGACACTTATTTTTGGCTTTTTTTCTCAATTTGAAATGGTTGGCTAATCTGTATTTTTATTACTGTGACTTTTGTCACTTGAAGGCTCTCAGGGTCAGGTATATTAGTTAACATCTCAGTGTTGGGTTTTTTAGTCTTCTACTTTGGAGGAAAAAAACCAGGCCCTGTTTGTGGAGCAGCTACTGATGATTCCACCGATTATGCTGCTTTGTGGTTTCTGCAAACATTGAAAGGAGAGTTGCTACCAATAAAGAACCTCATAAGCCTTTGAAAGCAATGCATTCTGCTCTCATCTGCTGCCATATGGCTCTGAAAGATGGCTTTTACTGATGTAAAGTGCCTGGGCCTTTGCCAAGACAGGAAACTTACATGTCAGAAAGGAATGGAGTCTAGAACTAATTTGGGAGCACCTATACAAAGGACCTCCACAGTTCTCTGTGCTGAGATTTCTTCATCTGTTACTCATTTGCACAGCTCCATTGGGCTTTGGTTTCATCAGTTACATGGCTGCTACAAATACCAGTATTCCTCCTCTTCCGTAGGGGTTAGCAGGAATGCCTACTAGCTCTGTACAACTCATGTTTTACTATTAATTTCCTCATTTAGGCAAAAGCTGCAGGTGATGATGAAGCCATGTTTATTGATGAAAACTTCTGCACCGCACTGGAGTATGGTCTTCCTCCTACAGCTGGCTGGGGCATGGGAATTGATCGCTTGACCATGTTCCTTACAGATTCCAATAACATCAAGGTAAGCATAAGCAGTGGTAGTGCCTTCCTACTGCTGGCTTTGTCAGGGAAAAGGGAATGGGGTTCAGCAAAGCTGCCCATCCCTTGGACGGAGCCAGTGGCTGGCAGTGGAGGGAGCTCTGTGAGATGTTTTGAGCCGTGGGATCCCGCCTGGGCAAAGCCCCTTGGGGCCCTCGCTCAGCTCTCTGAGCCCCGCGGCTGAGCGGCGGAGCCCGCGCTAGGGCAGCTCTCGCGAGACCTGCGCACGGGATGGGGTGGTGCCGGTCGGCGCGGTCGCTGATTCTGTCGCTGTTCGCAGGAGGTGCTGCTCTTCCCCGCCATGAAACCGGAGGACAGCAAGAAGGAGGCGCAGCCCGGCGAGGGCACCTCTGTGTAAGCCTCCAGACCGCCGCAGGCACCTCCGCGTGAGGCCTGAGCGCGGCGAGGGCACCTCTGCTTGAGCTTCGGAGTGGCGCATACCTTCAATAAAGGCAGCTTTCTCTGCACCCGTCTCTGAGTCTTTCTGCGCTTGCGCAAGAGCCGCAGCGAGCGGCGGCTGACACGGGCGAGAAGCGGCTGCGCGTGCACGAGCCCTGGGGCGCTCTGCGAGCGGCGCGGCCCCGGAGGTTCGGTTGTCGCCGCCCATCCTGGCACCGGAGGAGCGGCGGCGCCGGTGTCCCGGCGGGTAGGCAGGGGCCTGCAGGGATTGCAGCGGCGCCGGTGTCCCGGCGGGTAGGCAGGGGCCTGCAGGGATTGCAGCCGTGGTGGCGGGAGGTGCGCCCTCGGAGCGTGGGCTGCCTCGGGTCTTTCGGCAAGGGGGCGGCCTCGGAAGGAGGCTGGTGGTGTTTGGCGCCTCAGGTGTGCTGCAGACACCTCACCGGAGTGGCGGCGGGTTGCATGCGGTTGATTGCTGCATAGTACGAGCTTTGGGAACCAGCAGACCCATCTGCTGTTGCACTTAAGGGTTCTAGCGTTGCTTTTTATTTCTTGCGATTTGGAAGACCTTGTTCCCTATAAGTAATCCTGAAAGGGATGATGCAGTTAGGTCTTTGTTGTTGAAATATGGTGCAGGAAAGTGTCATGCAGAACAAGGTTGATAACGTTGAAGACATGGGGGTTGTTTTTCAAGTGTTGTGATGGAATCCAATTCTGTGTAGAACCTGCACTTTCGAATCAAGAGCCATGTGGTCAGCTGATGAAATCGCTGGGCTATGTTACCTGCATTACAGGACCAGACTTCCTAAGCAGGGGAAACCAGATCCAAACAGGGAATGGACTTCCCTGGCAGCTGTTGTCAAAGTGGAATCAGCAGCCCAAAGAGAGGCTCTTGATAGTCCAGGAAACTTGCAGGGTAAGAATGAATTTTGGACATAGGGGTGGGAGAGAAGGGAGGGGCAGAGAAGGTTATTCATGCTTTCTCTATATTTCCTTTTTTTAAGATGCCTTTAAAAAAACATAAATCCCTTCCTATTCCATTGTCTCCACCCAAATTCTTTACTCCATGATTGTTGGGATTCACAACTTCTGTCTTGAAAGAGGTGGTTTTAGTGAAATGCTGTTCTTCCCAGACCGTAAACAAGACAATGAAAGCCTTCATTTGGCTGTTCAATATGTGGTGAAAGTCTAGGCAGGGCCTGAATTCCTAATACAAACTCTTGAAAAAACATGTTTAATAGAATGCGAGAAACGTTTGCTCTCCTGTAACAGGTTACTATATCCGGTGTTTGTGTTAGTTTGTCATCATCTTCTTTTCCCTTAGTGGCACTTCAGTGTTGTTAGGCAGATTGTATAACATATTTCTTATTTTTATGTGCCTAGGAATGCTATGGCAATGTCTGCTGTGTGCTGTCTAGCATATCAAGCCTGTCTTAGCATTCCTTCTATGCGGTCCTAGCACTATTTTCCTAGCACTAATGCTTCTATATTCAGTTTTCGATCTGTTTCCTTTCTGTAAGCTTGCATGATCTGCCTCTCTGTACATTCCCTTCTACTCAGTGTTCTGTGTGTTGTCTTACTAGAGTGACTGTATGAGAGCAATGCTTCTGGCAATAGTTGGAAGTGATAGTTTTTTCAGTTAATGTTGTTTTTTTTCAATTAATGTTGTTTCTCTTTCAGTAACTAAGGAAGTTGTTGCTATGGGAACTGGAACAAAATGTATTGGCCAAAACAAAATGCGAAAAACTGGTAAGTATGATATTAAATTCAAGAGCAGACTATCTATGCTGCCTTCTTTCTTGCTGGTGTCATAGAATCAGTGAAGATGTCCAAGGCGTACTGCTTAGACTTGTTCTGGATTGAAGCCAGAAGTGTTAAGGCAACCTTCCTTCACCAATGAGTGAGGAGCTTTGGCAGCCACAATGGCTGCCAGGAAGGTTTTCTGCACTTGCTGCCTCAAAGGTGAATGAAGTTTTTCTATTTGGAAATTTGTGGTTTAGTCCCTGAGTCTGCATACTCAAAGACTTCATAACAAAAAGCAAAACAAAACATCAGCCAAATAACTGTGCTTTGGTTACCTGTTGCAGTGTAATTTTGTTGGGGTCTGATGCAAGAGGTTACCACTGCTGGTACTAACCAGCAGGAAGGTACTAATAGGGTTTTTCTTTCCGACTGCATATTACTGCTAGATAGTTTTAAGTGTTGTACAGTAAATGTATGGGATACGTACACAGCTTCTTGCAACTACCATTTCTTACTGTGTATTGTAGAAGACTTTCCTTGCTCTCTGTGTCCATTTTTTAATTCATGCTGTATCTGTCTCCTCCGCTAGGACAGGGAAGAAGCTGTAGTAATGACGAATGCTGAAAAGTGGCTAAGGGTGCAAAGTGTTCATGCTTATGAAGGTACAGGGCTTTCTACCCTCTTTAGACTTCAGAGGAGGACTAGACTGAGATATGAGAAAGGGTTTTGCCTGTATCTGGTTTAGGCTGCTTCATATTCTCTATAGTGTCCTTAATTTTGAAATTAATTAGTGGAGCAAAAGAGAAGAAACTAGATTTTGTATCTTAAACTTTTTGCATGTTTCTTGTGATTTGGCCATCTCAGAAGAGTTTTGGTAAAGACATTTTTCTGACTGATTTAGGAAAATTATGATCAAACTGTTGTATCATTTACAATCTAGATATTAAGAGTCCAAGTAGAAAATTGACTAGGAAAAAGTAACACTAGTTTGTTTTGCCATTGTTTCTCTTCAGTGATCTCAAATTTAGAAAATACTCTCCTCTTATGATAACATTTTAAACTTGGTGGTAGGTCATGTTGATGGTTATTTGTTAGATCACTTCTAAACTTTTAAAGGTGTTAAGGGGGATTTCTTTCACTTGGCCTTTTATGCCTGAAATAAAAGATGATCTACAGCTCCTGTTCCTTTACATGGCATAACAGGCAGGTACTGTTCAGGAAAGCAGAAGATGAGATGTGCATACTTAGTAAGTATCAGAATTATTTGCAGGAAAAATAGTTTAAATTGTAGGACATCGTTCAAAACGAATCTTCAGCCAAAAGCTTAACAAGCACTTGAAATTTTCTGGTGGAATGTGTTTTGAGAATATCAGGATTTACCCTTGAAAACAAAAGTCAGGAAGATTTTGAAGGATGGTAGTGTTTATTCAACTCAAATATCAGAAGAGTAAAAATTTGGTATTCAAAAGAGTCTCTGACTTGCTGCAGACTGAGTACTTTTATCCTTCATTTGTGTAGGCTGTTGACCTCCTTTTGTCATGATTGGAAGTTTAAATATCTTGCAATACTCTAAAACCAATGGGAAACCTACTAATAAATATGGAGAACTGTCCTATGTTGAATTCCATTTGTTTTGTCTTTTTTTTAGTAATGATTTAGTATTTGCATTTGGGTTTTGGTTTAGGAGACATTCTGAATGACAGCCATGCTGAAATTGTGGCCAAGAGGAGCTTCCAGAGGTGAGGCATGAATGAAGTTTTACTCAATGCTGTAGCAGTGCTGTTACTCAGTGCCGCCTGAGGTTGTTGTGACAAAAATCGTTTTGACCTATTGCTAAAGTAGCCAAATTTTGTAGCTTCACATATGAGAATGTGGTGAAAGACTGCATTACTTCTGTGTGGGCAACACACTTTTTCCTGTTGTCAGCAGGATTTTAGCCTAATTTTTATACTTCTAGACAGTGTTAAGGCCTTTTCACAAAAGCTTCTTCCTTGTTCTTCTGGAGCCTCTGAATGAAGAATTAGGATCTGATTTCATCTGACTTCAATGCAGATCTGATGACTATTATTCAAGGATAGAATTTTTGCTCTTTCCCGTATGCCAGTCCTCTTGTTTACATGGGATAAACTGGTTCAGGAAACTGAGCCAGGGGAACAGTAATTCTGCAGAAATGAGTACATTTCTTGCAATTCCATGTCACTAAACTGAGTCTCGTAGAATAAGATGAATTGCAGAGTTGATAAAAACACACAGAGTGGTGGGAGAGGACCTTATCTATACAGTTTGAGATGGTTAACATTAACTCCACTGGACCCAACTCTTTGAGGTCTGTTATTAAAGTTCCAATGATGAGTTTACATTTATTATGTTGGATGCTATCTCTCTGTAGAAGTGTAACTGATTGGCTCCTGATAGACTCCCATCAGGAAAGAACAGACTCTAGAGGGCATTTAAGCTTTGTTTTTTTCTCACGCATCAAAAAGGAAGTCAATGTTTCATGAAAACTTTCTGCCTAACAGGTATCTTCTCCATCAGTTGTGGCTTGCAGCTTCCCATCAGCAATGCATTTTTAGTCCGGGAACTGAAACTGGGAAATGGAAACTCAAACCAAATGTTATCTTTATTTTCTTCTCCAGCCATACCCCATGTGAGTATGCTGGAGTGAACCAAGTACATTGGTCCCACTTGTAGAATCTTTTCTGCCCCATGTCTTTCTTTTGTCTCTCTTTGGTCTGGATTGAGAGTGAGGCAGTAATTCATGTTTACAAATACATGCCCCAAGATGTATTTGACTCCACAGATAGATTTGGCATTTTATCTCACTGGATATGATTCAGGAGAACTCAGTAAGTCTGATGTACTGTTCATTATATAGTGGAATGTTTCACTTCAAACAGTAGCTATTATTTTTCTTTCCAGAAAATAATATATTTGTCAGAGGTCCTGCCATATTGCCTAGTTGCTTTGCTTCAAGCATTATCTCCTCGGATTAAAATTTTAATAAAAACTACTGGCATTTACCACCATCCCTAAAAGCAACCAAACAAAAGATACCCTACACCCAGCCAACAACCACCCCCACCCCCATGAAGCAAACAAAGAAAAAAAAACCCAAACAAACACCAAAAAACCTCCAAACCAACTAACAAAGAAAAAACCCAAAACCAAGCAAAAAGAAAAACAAGGGAGAAGAGCCAACACTGACTCAAACAAAACCCCCCAACAAACCAAAATGACGCTCCTGAAAAACAAGAATAAAAGCCCCATTCATGAATCATCAGTAGCTCCAAGCACAAAACTTCTTTGGGAATGTAATGAAACTTCTGTCATGGAAAACATTATTTGTATGTTTAAAAAAACAGCACCACAAAGATGAAGATCTGTTGACAGAATGAAGGAGTGCAGTGTCATGGTCTACCAACACATCACATATCTTGATGTTACCATGCTCTCTCACTGGTGTGTTCTTCAACTGCTAGTCTGTTACGGAGCAAAGGAGTTTTAAGAACTTTCAAAATATGCCTCATCAGTACTTCAGAGTGAGTTAGTTGCTCATACTTTTTCATGATCTTGAGTGCATTGCTGGAATATGCAATATTATTTTTCTTCATTAGTGCATTTCAGAATAGAAATTACATCTCCAAATTTATTAGTGAGAATAATTTCATTGCCTTTTTTTTCTCACATAAATCAGCAGACCTGTCAGGTTTGCTTAGCTTTGAACTGAGTTTCAGAATTTTGGTTCTGAGCTTGTTTCAGTGATACAGATTAAAGTTTTCACCCTTACTTGACAGATTATTCTTTCATTAATCTTTTGAGGTTCATATTGCTTGGTTAGATCAGGCTGGTTTTCGTGTGAGTCTTCAGCACTTCTTGTAGTCTGTCAAATGCCTTTGTTACCTTTTACTTTATAGGTTGTAAATTTTGCTTTCTTGGTTATCTCTTACATAGAAAGCAGAACTTGAAGTGAAGCATATATTGGCTCAAATTTCAGTGAGATTTGATTCAGCTTGACACAAGACAATGTTGTTTCAAAAATGTGTTCTCATAGTTAAGTTTTCCTGAGTGCAGATCTGTGAAAGCTACTAGTAGTTGTAATATTACTGGTATGACGTGTTCCCATCACAAGATGGGTCTTTGGCCACTTTCATGCTATTTCTTTTGTCCCAGGTGGAGATGCTTCTATTTTTCCAATCAGTGAACCAGAGAACCAGCTTCCTAAGCCAGTGACTGAAGGTCATGCAGCTGGACAATCAGCAGAATGTAGAAGTGACCATAATCACTTATGTCCAGAAGATGAAAGAAAATCAGAGAAGATGGCAAGGAATTGTATAATCAAGAGAATGAAAATTGATGATGGTGGTTGTTTTTCCATAACCACTGAAGACCTGGCTGTTCAGCATGGATCTGTGAAACGAGAAGACAACGCAAATCAGAAGAGCTGTCAATGTTCTGCAGAGATGCAGACAGCTAATAAGGAGAGTGGCTTAGTGAGACCAAAGGTAGTAGATGTTCATAGAACTGGAGCCAAATGTGTACCTGGAGAGCTGGATGATGCCCGAATACCTGGGCTGGGGTACCACTGTGTGGGATTATTACGAGTGAAGCCAGGCCGAGGAGATAGAACATGCTCTATGTCCTGCAGTGATAAACTGGCTCGCTGGAATGTGTTAGGGTGTCAAGGAGCTCTTCTAATGCATTTTCTGCAGTATCCAGTGTATCTGTCAGCAGTTGTAGTGGGAAAGTGTCCATATAGCCAAGAAGCTATGCGGAGAGCAGTTATTGAAAGGTAAGTGCTCTCCTCAGATGGTGCATGTGGAGACAGGGAGCTTTGGAAGGCAATGCATGTCGTACAAATATTAGAACTTTAGCAAGCTTTCGATAATGTGTCTTGTAAAATCCTGATAGAGGATCTGGTAAAGTGTGAGCTGGATGAGCAGATGTGGATTGAAAACTATTTGAATGACTGGGCCCAGAAGGTAGTGATCATTAGGCTAAGTGTAGTTAAAGGTGTAAGTAGCCATGTACCCCAGGGATCAATACTAGGTCCAAACTTACTTGATATCTTCATTAATCAGTCATCTGGATGATGGTGCAGACTGTAGGCCCAGACATTTTACTGAAGACTCAAGAGTGAGGAGTGGCTGATCAACCAGGGCATTGTGCTGCCATCCACAGCAACCTCAGCAGGCTAGAGAAAAGTGGGAACTTCATGAAGTTCAGCAAGGGGAAGTAAAAACTTGCACCTGGGAAAGAGACAGTCCCATGCACCAATATATGCTGGGGGCTGCCTGGTTGGAAAGCAGCTTCACAGAAAAGGACTAGGGGTTCCTGCTAGATGTGAAGTTGAAAATGAGCCAGTAGTGTGCTCTACCAACAAAGAAGGCTAATGGTGTCTCAGGCCACTTTAGGCAGAGTATTGCAGTGGGTCCAGGGAGATGATCCTTCCCCTTCAGATGTGGTGAGACCACATTTGAAGGGCTGTGTCCAGTTATGGGTCTCTCAGTACAAGAGGGATGTGGACATACTGGAGAGAGGCCAGCAGAGGGCCTCGAAGATGCATAATAGATTTTTAGCATCTCTCATAAGAGAAAAGCTGGAACTACTCAGCCTGGAGAAGAGAAGGCTTGTAGGCATCCTGTCTCTTTGTATACATATGTGAAGGGGGGTGGCAGGGAAAATGGACCCAGGCTGTTTGCAGTGGTGTTGGTGATAGGACAAAAGTAATGGGCACAAACTGAAGCTTAGGAATGTCAGGAAGCACTTTTTTACTTTGAGGGTGACTGAGAACTGGCAGAGGCTGCCCTGAGAAGTTGTGGAGTCTCCTGTCTTTGAGTTACTCAGAAATTATGTGGACGCTGTCCTGAGCAGTTGTCTGTAGGTTGCCCATCTGGAGAATGATGGTTGGACTAGGTGACCTACAAGAAGTCCCCTCCCACCTCAGCTGCTCTGTGATTTACTACAGTGCTTCAGGACACATAGTATGTGACAGATTGTACTGGTCAGCTGGAAGAAGACAATTGTGTTACACTGGAGAGGAAAAGCTTATATGTGTTTTCATGGTTGTAAAAATTTGTCTGCTTCTATAATCTCAGTTACATCCAAGACCTGATCTTTTTCTTGCTGTGTGTAGTGGAGCTCTCATAACATAACTGTCACCTCAGGGAAATCTGTATGAGAGATGAACTGAACTGCTGCAAAATGAGGAAGGTTATCTGTTGTGCACTGGCCTTCTTTCTGCTCAGATTCTTCAGCTGATGAAAGCTATCCCAGCAACAAGGATAGGAAGTGAACATTTTTCTTACATGGGAGGCTAAATCAGTAGAGTAGAGCAGTAGAGAATGGTAAATGGATTTGGGCAGAGTGAAGGGAAAGGAGAGCAAAGAAAAAACCACTCTGTGTAAATATTGTAGTGATTAAATACATGCTGGTTTTTTTTTTTTTTATGATCGTAATGTCATTCAGTATGCAACCATAATTTAAGGTAACAAAGATGAGATTATATATGGAACTCTAGGTGTACTTTGTGTGTTTTTAGGCATTGATCATAAACCTTCAGCCTCATGAAACAATTCCCAGTGTAATGCAGTTGACTATGTAAATACCTTATGATTTTTATTTATCTTTGTGATTGCAGAAGTATATTGCAGGTTTTGTCCTGCATTTGACTTAATTGATTATAATAGCTTTTAAATAGACCTTTTTAAAAGTTAGTTTATATTTTTTTCTTTAGGATGGACAAGGTCCTAGTAAACTAATGTGACTTTGGGGTTTTAGTTAATAAATATTTTTCTGAAGGGAAAAATGCCTCCAAAACTCATTGTCTCACCTATATAACTCATGTTCGATTCAGTTTTAATGTAAAAGAAATGTATTTTAGATAATGAAGGGAAATGGTGCAAAATGGTCTTGTTTGGGAAGAGCATACTGAAAATTTCTGTGTTTCCTGTAGGTGTCAGCACATCTCATCTTTACCAGATGGTTTTCTCGCTCAGGAGGTTAAGCTGCTGCAATCAGATCTTCAATTTGAACATAGCCGACAGGCAATTCAGGAAGTTCAAAGTAACAGCAAAACAAAACTTGTTCCTTGTAGTGCAGGTGAGTTAATTTGGGCTGGTTGCGTAACTGTGTGCAAAAGTCCAAATAGAAATGATGGGTCTGGTTCTTTGGAATGGAACATCATTCCTTGCCAGTATGCTAGTGGCAAAATACAAAAAGCAAGAAATTATTTTCAGGTCATGACTTAATTGTTAATAATATTTGTCTCACCCTCTAGTTTCCAGTAGGAAGTTTTCAGGCTGAATAAACACTTGGTTGATGTGATTAAGAGTTTATAATTAAACACAGACAGAAAATAACCAGGAAATAAAAGTTGAGTACAAAAAGAAAACAAAAGACTTCTTCTTTCAGTTAGTTTTGCGTTCTCTTTGGTAATGAACAAAAGACTTGCCGTGCTGAGTTATGTTTGTAATTGCTCCAAAAATCTGTGAATGAGGAAAGAATACAGAGTAGTGTAGTGTAAAAGTTGTATTGATAGATATTTTAGGCATGGCAATTTTTTGCCGTGGTGATGAATGAATGCTTAAATCTCATTGTGGTTTTGCAACATGGTCTCATTTGGGAAAAAGAAAAGGAACTGCCACTCTATGTGCATGGCTAAGCAGTTTCTTTAACTTGGACATGCCTGCCTTCTGCTTCTGATCAGACTTTTGTCTGAATCAGAACTGGAAGTTTTCTATTACAATACAGGTAATGATAAAATAGAATGGAGATAAAGTGTTCCTTAATGAAATTCACATTCATTAAATTGGAGTTATTTACAAGTGCCAGGAGGAAAAATATTTTCATTTTGTGAGATAAAAAACAAATTTCATCATTGAAAAGTAGTGCCAATTGAGTTACCAAAAAAGGCCTGAAAGCAGCTGTGACTAAATTCAGTGTATGTCTTTCTTGCTGTACACTTCTCAAGTCATTCTGTTAAAGAAAGATGAATGATGCCTTAGCACGCTTTTTTATGCCAGGTGGTTTCTTTTCTTGAAGGAATAAAAATCAGAATAAGCTCTAAATTTAGGACTGTTGCACAGAGTATTGAAAGATGCTTGAAAGGAACATTGCAGCTGTTAGTTTAGGAAAGTATCTTTTCTGTTTAGTGCTTTGAAGTTTGAGATAAGGATGAAAAAGTGAAAGAATAGAAAATGTTTTAATTTTTAAGTAACTTTGTAGCTGCTTGTCAGAAACTGATATCCTCTAACCAAGTGATTTTTAGATATTTCACATGTGGAGGATTTAATACCAGTCATATGTATCTAATGTTATTTCATGTTACATAGGATTGTAATTTACTAGGGTGATACAGCATTGTGCTTGAATCACTATGTAAGTACAATTGGCAGCATACAGCTGAATTGTAATCCAAGGATGAGTAACATAAGCAGTCTCTTTGAGCATCTTGAGTAACAAGATGGTCTTGGCAGTGAATGCATGTGCAGCTATTCTGCCTGTTATGAACACAGAGAAGAGGGAGAATTTAGGAAAAAGAAGCTGTCTCATGGCAGTAGAAGTTGAAGAATCTGCTGTTTTGCTATGGAAGGACAGATTTGACATGTCAGTTTCTGTTGACATGCTGCTGATGCTTTGCTCATTACTTAGAAATTATAAGGTATTGTATATAGAGTTTCAGCATTTAGAGGTTTACAGTCTGAGACGATTACGAAGTTCAGATTTGGGGTAGAGTTTAAGGCTGTTGGCACTTTCTATCTCTTTCAACAAATTATTTTTGTATGACTACTACCTAATAATGTTTTTTAAGTAAAGTCTACAAATATTTGGTGTGTGTCAGTTATCAAACATGAAACTACTTAGAGTACACAATAAAATAGTAGCAGGCGGTAAATTAAGAAAAACAGAGTGACTGGTGCAAGTAGTTTAGGGCAGTATTTCACAGCCTGATGTGAAAATAAGCCATGTAACTTGGAAATTTCTTCATGCGTTGTCTGGACTGGATGCACAAAAGAAAGTAGAATCTCCCACAGAAATGGAGAATTACAAAGCTGAAGGCCAGAAATTTAGAGGCATGGATTATTAAATGATCTAACTAAGACGAAAGCTCTGTGTGTGTGTGTGTTTTTGTTTTTTTAAAGTAAACATTCTGTTACATACTGGAATTCTGGCCCTGGAAAACCACGGTCCTCTTTCTAGTTTGAATTATTTTGGGAAGCAACACATGAATAAATAGAATGAAAGGAACTGTTAGGTGACAAGAGCGTCTCCCTTGTTCATAACAATGTCTTCTGCAGCTATCAGTTGGAGTGCAGTCCCTGAACAACCTCTGGATGTCACCTCAGACGGCTTCCGCCAGGGAACAACAAAGAAGGGGATTGGGAGCCAGCAGAGCAGGTGGGAGAGTATTGCTATATCTAGACATGTTTCATTTGTTAGCTTACATGCCTTTGTCAGCTCATGTGATGTTGTCAGAGCAGGAGGAAATCTAGAGAGTGGTGAAGAAGGAGGAAGGTAGAGAGTAGGGGAAAAGGACGAGTCGCTGTGTAAGGGAGAAAGGGCAGTTGGAATAATGGAAGTTAGATGAGAATTAACAAGTTTATCCTATTTCTTTATCCCTGTTGAGAACATTGTAGATAATGGTGGTGAGGAACTGTGATCAGTTTTTATTAAAAGGATGTTTACTGTTGAAGGAAACAGAATTTTTGCTTTCTGGTTTTGACTGTGAAGGAAATGTGTGCATTGCATTTTCTCTTTCTAGAGATTTCTTTAACTTGAATAGTCAAGCCAGCTGTCCTCCATTTAATGTCTATCCTTTTAATGATGTATGATCATTAAAAGTGTAGCTTTGAAACGTGACTTTCTGCCTTAAAGTTTGAAAAGGTGTTGAAATGATGGCGGCACACTCCTAACATGAATGTGTCACCTTTCTAGCTGTCATCTTGGCACTCGGTTCAGCCAGCTTGTCACTTGGCTCTTTAAGAAATCCTCTATCAACAATCATAGTTTAAAGAAATAGTTTCTTATTTTTCTTGATGTTGAGAGAAATTACTTATAAGCAACTGCAAACAAATTTCTCCATCTCTGTGTTATCTTCATTTTGGATGAGGTGCCAAAATTATCATTGTTCTGTGGAAATTCAGCTGAAGGATTGGTGTTCATGTTTTAGCTGTTGGCTGATTATACTACCAAATTATCAATGGTCATATTGTTCATGTTCCCCAGACTTTTTGGAAGGATGATGACAATCCTGACAAGGGGGTGAATAGCATAGGAAATACAGCTCAGATAATTCTTTTGGAGAATTTATTAATTTATCTGCAAGTTGCACATTCTGGGCTTCTTGAAGTTAGGCCTGATTTGACTGAAGTTTATCCTGGTATATCCTAGTATTTCCAAATTTTCAGTGGAAAAGAAGAGGACCAGGAATTTTGTGGTTTGTGACCAGTATTGGTGTCTGCAGTATTGCTAACATAGGTGACCTAGGTGACTTAGTGCATCTTTCCAGACAGACTCCATATGCACTGTAGAATATTTATTTTCAATATGCGATATGTAAGTATTCCAGAAAACATGTGAAAGATTAAACAAACCAGCTAACTCCTTTTTCTCAGTAGGATTAAATTTGTAACACAGCATTTGTGCATCAGCTCTAAAACTTGAGAGCCATCTCCTTGCTGGCAATTAGCACAAAAGCGTGAGAACTCAATTATTGTTGAAAGATCCTCTTCTCAACGTGTGCTTGAAGTTCACTAAAACTTTCAAAAGTTATTAGAGCCTGCAAGACTGTGTGATTACAAACATCTCATTTCCTTAGGGAATCAGAATTAAAAACAGGGTCAATGCACAAGTGAACTATTTACGCTTTTGAGGTAAACAGTCACAAAAGGAACTTTTATAATGAAAATAAGGAATTTACAGCCTTATTGGGACTGATGGTGCTTAATAATAAACAGGACTTGTATTTCAACATTCTTTTTCCTCTCAAGGAATCTCAGGGTGATTGCTGGGAAGTGTTCTTTGAGGGTTTTTTCCCCCTTTCAATATGCTAGATGACATTAAATACAAGGATGGTAAGGCTGACTGACTAAAAGGAATTTGTAGGTAAATGTCTGGTATGTGCTTTTGTTAATGCTTCATTAACTAAACCACCAAATACTACAAGATGAAACTTTGACAGGTTAAATTGAATATTAAATTTTAGAGCATCTTTGCATACTGTCATCACCAGTGGGGTTCAGCAGGGCTCTGTTTTAAGGCCAGTGCTTTTCAGCCTCCTAATAAATGACTTGGATGCGGGACTCAAAGGTACACTAAGTTTGCCAGTGATACTAAATTGGGAGAAGCTGTTGACTCCCTTGAAAGAAGACAGGCCCTGCAGAAAGACCTTGACAAATGAAATGGTTGGGCAATCACCAACCGTATGAAGTTTAGCAAAGACAAATGCCAGTTTCTGCACATGGCACAGGGTGACATGCATATACGGACAGATTGGGGAATGAGAGGCTGGAAAGCAGGGCCATGGAAGGGGACCTAGGAGTCCTGGTTAACGGATATGAGTCAGCAGTGCCCTGGCAACCAGGAGGGCCACTCTCATCCTGGGGGCCGTCAGGCCATCACTGGTGGCTGAGTGAAGGAGGGAACTGTCCTGCTCTGCGCTGCTCTGGTGCAGCCTCACCTCCTGCGGGCAGTGTTGGGCACAGGAATATAAGAAGATAAAGCTCTAAGCGTCCAAGGAGGGGGCCATCAGGGATGATGAAGGGTCTGGAGGGGAAGCCCTACAAGGAGCAGCTGAGATCACTTGATTTGTTCAGCCTGGAGAAGGGCAAACTGAGGGCAGGCCTCACAGCAGGCTACATCTTTCTCGTGGGGTGACACAGAGGTGCAGGCACTGTTCTCTGCTCTCTGGTGACCGATGGCGGGGCCTGAGGAATGGCTGGAGCTCTGTCAGAGGAGGTTTAGGCTGAGTATTACCTAGAGGTAAAGGGTGGTCGGGTGCTGGAACAGGCTCCCCAGGGCAGTGGTCACAGTGGTCTGAGTTCAAGGAGCATTTGGATAATGCTCTCAGGCACGTGCTGGGATTATTGGGGTTTTCCTGAGCCAGGAGTTGGACTCGATGATCCTTGTGGAGATTCTATGATACTACGCAATTTTTGATGTTCTTAAAACACATGCTAGCAACATAGGAAGATTTATTTTTTTAAATTGATTTTGTTTTCAGTGCTTGTGGAGAATCAGCTTGTATTTGTTGCAGAACTGAATCTGTCATTGTTAAGACAAGTACACAAAGATAATTAAATAGAGGAAACAGCTGGGCCATTCAAAACAAAAGTACACTTTATCAACAGTGATTGGATTCTGGTTGCCATCTCTTTGGGGAAGTAGAAGGGCTCAAAGCTGACGAATGTATATAGTATCTTCTAAAGATCTTTAAAACTTTGTCTCACTTTATTTTTTGATGAGCCTCTTTGTATTTAACTGCCCTGCAGCTTTTTTGCTGAATGTGTCCTCATCACCATTGTGAAAACATCAGCGTTGTTCCAGATATTTCTGCTCCTTCTTTTATTTGTTTTGAATAATACAAAATTTAACAGTTTGTAAAAAGGTTCTGCTTGTTTGTGTCCCCTGTTCTGGGACTAGTCCTTCTGGCTAAACCTTACTGTAGCTCTGAACTGATGACAGTGCAGTTTCATGCAGATAACAGTGTGATATTAAAGCGTTCATTCTGCAAACTGGTGAGTGCTGGCTGGGAGAATGGGGCAATGCAGCTTTTTGTCAATATAGCATTTAAAACTAAGGGAAAAGGCCAAGGGAAACTAAGGGCAGCTTGGATGGGGTAGAAAAAGTTAAATGATAGAAAAGTTTTTACATTCACTGAGAAGTGAGCATAATGCTTTCTATCAAATGTGTTTAGCTGCAATGTTCTGCTGTAAGGTGGAATGAATTTATGGGTTTTTTTTCCATCAGAATTCCTAATTTTAAAAATTTTTTTATATCAGATCCAAAATCTGTAAAGTGGAACTCTTCCATAAATTCCAAAAGCTGGTGACAAGTATTTCACAAGAGGATCTACCAGACACTCTACGGTAAAGACATTATCATTGCCTTTAGTAGAATGAATTTATCTTAATGAAACTGAACAGTACTGTAATGATACAGTATCTGCTCATGAATCTCATTTTAGATAAGTCCATTGTTAAAGTTTGATACTTGAAAAATGTGGAAAGAGACGCAAGATGAGGAAGTGGTGTTTGTTTTTGAAAACATGAGCTATTGGATCAGCTGCCTGCACCTCTCTACCCTTGGATGTATTCAAATCTGACATCACAAAATTACCATGGAGTTACTGATATCTAGTTGGTGTTCAGTAATACTGTCAAATTCCACTTCTTTGATTCACAAGAAGGAAGAGTTTGAGTAAAAAAACCAGTTTTTTCTTTGTTTCTTTTTTTTTTAAAGTTTAGGGTAAAATCAGTTTTCAGCTTAGCATATGGTGGAGTAAGAGCTACTAAAGTGAGATGGTGCTCTTTCTGCATTTTTCTCTCATATGGTTGGTAAGGATAGATAGGGATCTTTCTGCAGTGCATATGTTGCATAAACAGAGACCTTCTGGGAAGAAAATAAAGCAGCTTTTGTCTGAAGACGCCATAATTGGAATTTTCCTTTACATTATTAAGAACAAATTTGGTTTATCAGACTGGAGTTAATTACTTCCAGTAATCATCCAGTATGGCATGGCATTATGTCCATTATGTATTTGGTGGTGTACTATAAAGCAAAGCATAGTTTCACATGTACAGAAACTTAGTTCTCTTTATTTTAGAGACTTCTGGGAATGTAGAGGGTTCCAAATCCATTGCTATGGAAGGTTTATTTTATTTTAGACTTACTTCCAGATATAATTTCACCAGCTTTAGGATGCAGTTAACCCAACTCTTGAGCCAGTTTAACTGCTTGTAGCTGCTGATGAGGTGGTCCCACAGCAGTTCAGCCAGTAGCCAGCTGCTACTGGCTGTTGATTCGTGTTTTCTCCCTTGTATCAGTAGCATTTCTCCAATCTCATGATGAACCAGTTCAACTGGGTAATGTGGCTGAAAACAATTTCCTTCTTTTCTGTGTTTTCTCTTGGACTAAAGAACTTAATGGAAATCTGAAACAGATAAAACCCATGCCAAGGAAGTAGGAGGCATATGTGACTGAAAGAAGGGGAGATAGGCCATTTCAGCCCTTCATGGTACTAAGATAGTAGGTGCAACAAACTTACCCGAAGTGCCCCCTGGCTCTTTAATTAATGGATCTTGCTTGCTTTTGAGTTCTGTTGAATTAAACATTGCAGTTACCTTCTGTGTCTGTGGAAGTGTCTTGTAACTGTTTCAAAGTTTCAATGTCAATATGGACCATGCTATTGCTGAGATGCTTTAAACTGATTCTGTAAGTAGAGATACTTTGTCCTTAAATCAGTTTGAAATATAAAATTTTTAGCCTCTTCTGAGTGGGCGTTGGTCCTCACTTTTTTAGCCATCATAATTTCCTCAAAACAGACTGTGAACTTGTGCATTGTTGGGTAGGTGACTCATTATGCTGATCACATGCTGCTTACATAAAGTCACTTCACCTCAGGGCTTTTCTAGACCACTGGCCTTGTTTCCTTTGACTTTTTTGTCCTCTACTGTTTGTCTGTCTGGGCTTCTCCTGACTAAGTCCAGCTGATTCACAGATGTGACATTGTTTTTTTACTGCACAAACTTTATTTATACAGAGGAGATGCTAGCTCACCAGTCAGCTTGTGCAGCTGGTTGCCTTGGAAGTATTTTGTTTTTCCTCCTCTTCTTTTGAAAAGCAAAATTAAAAAGTGTCTTCGTGTTGCTGTTTCCTTCATCTTCCCTTTTTTCCCTACATGGTATTCTGATGTTTTGATTTTTCTTTCCCTCTTGGAGTCTGAGTGAACTTCAGATAAGAAATCCTACACTCTCCAATTGTTTCTTTAAACTTCTGTGTATTTAACTGTTACCAGTTTTGTATTTTCTTCACATTCAAATGTATCTTGTTATCTCTTCCCGCAAATGGTTGGCTCTAAAGCTGTGCTATCACGCAGTTTCCTTTTTCCACTTTGACCCTAAGTTCCTTCCCTGACTCTTCTAATCCACTTCTCTTGCCTTCCAATTTTTCTGATCCATCGAGGAATGCTCATTCTGTAATACTTTCAGATTTGCTGAATAGCTTGTTTTGTAGTTGTAGGGTATATTAAGACAAGGGTTGCTCTTCATGTAATGCTGCCTTCATTTACTGTTGTCCACTGTCAGACTTGGGAACTGGGAATTTAGCTTTACATGGAACTGATTCTATTCTGATGTTATTTTGGGTTTTTTTAATTTTATTTGGTTTTTTTTGTTAGTTTTGGTTTGGTTTTGTTTGTTTGTTTGTTTGTTTGTTTGTTTGTTTTTGTGTGTGTGTATCTAAATCTGCTTCTCCTTTCTTATTCATTCTTCACACAGAAGGATCTGTGTGGGTACTGTTGAATTGGAACAGGTAGACAGCCTACTGGGGCCAGAACTTTGCTGGCTCTTCTAAAAGGCAAATTTAGGTATTTGTAGTAGTATAGCTTATCTAAGATCTTAAGCATGACATTCATCAATTTGGGTTTTTTCAGGATTTAGTTTATTTGCTTTCAGATGAGACTGAGAAGGAGGTGGTGTTTGGCTGGTATGAGCTACTTCACCAAGAACCAGATAGTACTGTATAATGCTGTCCCACCTTCTTTCTTCTTTTGCAGTAATTCTTATGATCTGTCTTCTGTGCCTTACTTAAATTCTCACTCCTCTCAATAGGTAGACTAATGTTATTTATTTATTACCTGTTACCGCCACCTATCATACCTAATTTTCTTCTGTTGATTCCCTCTCATTATCATTTTGAAATTACTGGTGCATAAATTGATTCCCTTCTGTTGATTCTCTCTCATATTATTATTTTGAAATTACTGGTCCATCTTTTTTTTTTTTCTTTTCATGTTTTCCATGCTCACTGTCAAGGGAATGGTGACACACCATTGGACAGTGTTGTGCTATTGCTAATCTGAATTGTTACATAAAATCCTCTGCAGTATTCTTTGCAGATCACTTGATGGTAACGTGGCAAAGGAGATTTTTTCATTACTGGGGTTTTTTTTTTTCCTGCTGTTAGGGAAAAAAACATGCCTTAGTGACCACCCGGGGAAGTGAAAACCTTCTCTTGTCATACAGTGGCATCCACCGTAGAGTCTCCAGGCACTGCTGTTTGAACAAGGTGTGGCTGGCTGTGTGGCCCTTTGTTTGAATCTAAGGGAGACTTTGTAAAATAAACCTGCCCTGACTTTCTTGATGGGCTTGTTAAATTAATGACTAATCCTCTTTTCTCTTAAATTGTAGTGAGGAGCCATCACAATTAAGATTGTACTACTATTCTTCCTTCCTGCTCAGTTCACAATATGGAGGATTCCAGTTCCAGATCCAGTACAGATAATGGGGTTCCGTTACCATTCCACTGGCCAGGGTGGGGGAAAGTTCTAGTGGGGCCCTTACATGGGACTTTTGAGAGCAGCTCGCAGGTTAGTTTCACAGAATATGAATAATGTGAAAGAGGTGGAGAAAGCAAAATGGATTGGCTGTGATAAGAGCACAGGGCAGGTTTTTTAAGAGAGAATACATCTCCCTACATAGACAGGTTCTCTCCACTCTTGCACCTTTCTGAACACAAGGTCTGAAGGATAGATATATGGTGTGCTTTGCATGTTACGGTATTCTGGAAATAAACTCATGGCAGAATGCTGAGTGCCTCAAACACAGCTTCTGATGATCTGCTGTTATGGTAGAGCTGTGGGGTTTTTTTGGGGGTGCTCATAATTGCCTTTGAGCTTGAAAGCCTGTTTTAGAGGTTAGTGCAGTAGTTCTCAGACCTCACAGATTAGGATTCCTGCAGTAGTTTGGCTCTTTCTCTTTCTTGGTGAAGGTCATGTTGCCTATGATCTTCCCTTCATATTGGGTTTAATGTATAAACATTGCCTATCCCATGTGGCTGGCAGGTGTTTTGGCAAAGGAAGATGAAAGAGGTTGGAAATGGAATGCAAGGAAAGGAAAAAAAATCTTCATGAAATTGTCTTACAGGCACTTGTGTTCAGATACTCTAGACTTGCATTTCCCTGTTTTGAAAGTCGTTGGTGTAATGTACTCAGAAGTGACCAGTTGTTCTGCTGAGATTGTGGGGCATAGTTGCTACTTGAGGAAGGGGAATGACACTAAAACTGATGTGTCCCTTTTGCTTTAGGGAAAGAAAAGAGAGTGTTTCCTCCTTTGTCTCATTCTTCCCTGTTAGTTTTTTGTTGGAAAAGAAAAACTGTCTAGTTCATTCTGTCCTTTTCCAGCCTGTTTTCTAGCATGCTAAAGCTACTTTCACCCAATTCAAAGCACCCTAGCTACCTTTTCAGCTTTGCTTCAGTGGCTTTTGCTGTCATGGAAGTTTTCTGTGGTCACACAGTCAAACACAAACGTTTCTAGTGCTAGAAGAGTTGTTTTGCTTCCTTTTGCAAGATTGATGACAATGCCTAGCTTTAAAGCCTGGGTGTCTCCGAGTCTCCCTAGAAGAGAATTTCACTAAGTAGTATGGAAGAGTTCATAGGAGATTGTCAGGCCCTTAGATGTTTGATTTCTTTTTTCATTTTGTGACCTCATATTCAATAGGATCATAGAATTGTTTTCATTTTTGTGCATTTTCTGTCAGGATGAAGACACTAAAAACCTACTGGGACTACAAGGAAGCTGCGTTAAATTATCAAGAAGCCTGGAGAGTGCTGCGTAGCCAAGCTCTGCTGGGTTGGGTCAAGAATGCCAAGGAATACCTGCACTTCACATGAGAATCCATGTGACTATGTGAATCCAGGAATAAGCTCTGGTCCACAGCAGATACCTTTGTATTTCAAGGGCCAGAAAATGACACCCTCTAGTTTATGTGCTGTAAAGAGACAGGAGTGAAAAGGAAAGCCATTTAGAGAGTACTTTTATTTTTACTGAGTTGAAGTCCTCTTTTTATTGAAATATAGAAAAGGATCATTGCTGACTTTAAATTCTGAGCTGCATGAAATAATATGCTTCCAAAAGAAAGGAAGCAGTGCTGTGCTATCCTGGTATCTGAAGGTAGGGCCTACCAGCCATAGTCATTGCAGTGAAAGAAATGTCAACTGAAATTCAAGCATTATTATGGAAAATTTTAGTGCCACTTTTTTCTTCCGCCTCTCATAATGTTGTTGTTTTTCTGTTGCTGGGACAACCCTCATGCATAGTAAGTAATACTTTCATAATTCTGAGCTCTTCTTGTCTGGTGCATGGAAGAATTTTCTATGTCCTTCAGCCCCATTGCTTCTAACTTGAAAAACTAGTTCTGTTAAAGTGTCTCTTTTTTTGGGAATCCTTCATATATGCTGCTATTTGCTAAACATAGCCGCAGATATTGCCACAGCAGAAGCAAAAGCACTGGGAAGGAGTCTGTGTCAAACAACACTACTTATGATATTCTGTGCATCTCAGTTTCAGGACTTTGCCAGATAACATTTCAACTGCTTTGCCTCTGTAGGCAGGAAAGAAAACTTCTGAATGACTTGGTTCAAATTGGCCAATCCTGTGTAATTACAGGCAAACATTTACCTACTTTTCAGTGTTTCAAGCACCATCCATCTCCATGCTCCCTTGCGGGAAATGGTCAATTAAAAGCAGAAATGCTTCAGTTATTTATGTCACTGGCCCTTGTGTTCATTAATAGCCTGGCAAAGGTGGAGATGCTTTGGGGAGTATTGAAAGTAGTCTCTGGCATGTTCCTTCTATTTTCTCTTGCCATTATGCTTTATTACCAACTAACATCTGCATGACAAGACAGTCAACACTGTGAGCAGTTGTGGGGGAAGCAGTGTGTAATCCTCCTTAAACCTTCTGTTCCAGTTATTGCCTTTTGTGAGCAATTTCAGGACTGTGTAACTGCTCCTGAGCCCATTCCCCTTTTGTATTTTTCTCTTGTAAACCACAATTCATAAAATATTTGGACAAGGCAATGTCAGGATGAAAGAAGCGGATAATTTAGAACTTGAAAATTCCTTAGTGATTTGATTTTTTTTTTTGTTCTTTGGTGGTCTGTAGTTTTGGATTTGAAAAATGGGCACAGCAGTTCTCCAAACAGCCTTTTTTGTCAACCTGCTGAGGTACATATGGGACCAAACAGTACACATAACGTTACAGTATGAGAAGTGATAGCAGCAAATCCTTGTTACTTCACACTCAGGCTAACTTGTCAAGTAAGAATAGTTCTCTTGTTGAAGAAGTAACAACTTGAATTCTGTGTGTATTTGCCCATTCTCTCAAATCCAGCACTAACATGCAGAAATACCAGTTGTACTGGTGAGGGGGAAGTAATTTTATGTGTTTGTAGAGGGCAAGGGATTATGGAGATTAGGAACTTGCAGTAGTCATCAGAGGATAAAAAATGGCCAGATGCCATTGCACATGGGTTACAGGGTGAGCTGCTGAAAATAAATGGTAGCTGTTCCTGTAATCGAGCAAGTAGTATTCCAAGGACAGAGTTCTATAGTGTACCTAAAGAGCTATCAGTAGATTTCCAGGTTCCTGACATTTGCCTTTGCTGAAATCTTGCAGAAACTATTAACTTACCATACCTAGTTTTGCATAGGTAATCAACAATGCCTGCAGTGAACCTGCTGACCAGACTGGAATGTTCCCATTTCCTATTCAGCTGCAATATTAAAATGGGTTACATAAGACTAGTTCTGTAGTCATGCATCAGTTTTCACATAAGCAGTTATATGGTTTAAATTCTTCTAACTCTTTTCTACAATTTGAGCCTGGCTGTTAGGATTGTTGCTGGTAAGATTTTTTTGTGAATTTCTAAAATACTTGTGAACTGTAGACTGTTGCTGTTTTGTTACCTGTCAGATTTAAAAGTAGTTTTTGAGGTGCTGAACACTGATGCTAACTTCATTTATTGGATGGAGCTGAGGACATATTTAAGCCTAGAGCAAGTCAGTGAATATGCAAAGAGAAGGAAAGAGCTGAAACAGAACAGCATTTAAAAGGCTGAGGGGCTAAGCCTGTGAGAGCTCATCCTCGACTGGATGGCATTTCTGTGACAGAAAATCAGTATATAAATGCTGCATTTGTTTCATTTGAAAATGTCAGGAAATGCTGTTGGCAGTACCATGAAACTGATTTAAAAACCAGAAGGGAAAAATGCAGAGATAGGAAAGAACAGTCTCTGCTTTTGTAATTGGTAGCAAACTAAACTTGGATCACTGTCAGCAGGTCTTTGGAAGAATTGCTCCTGGAAAGGAACAGTTGATATGTTCCAAGCCTGTATCACTTCTTTGCGCTGGTATAGCTGATACCCCGAAAAACAAAGATAGGCAAGGCACAGGGAGGACAGCAGAATGCAGAGACTCTGCCACAGGAGAGCAGAGTTAGCAGGGAGGGAAGCAGCAGGAATGAAGTGCCCACAGTGCATGGTTAATGAGGACAAGCAAACAAGTGGGAGTGGGAGCAGCAGAGCACAGGAGGGCACCAAGATTCCCACCATATGTGTAAAATGAGCACATCTGTATAACCCAGATAGGGCCTTGCCTGTCCCAAACTTGTTTGGAGACCAATGGCTCTTACTTGCCAGGACAAAGAAACTGTAATCATTGAGTAGAATGTCTTTAACAGCATCACTGTTAGAGGTGTTATTCTCTTTTCAGTCCTAGTAAGAAGGCAGGACAGACTCCCTGCATATCTTGAAGGAAGTCAAACCCGAGCATAGAAACAAGTGGTTTTCTCCCAGGGTGAGAGTAATCATGTTTGACCTTGAGGCTGCAGTTCCACAAGACCAGATGTTAGCATCCCACTGTCTTTGGAAAAGCAAGGTTTTGATCTTCACCGTGTACTTCCACTGCTCACCTTAACACAGGCTGGAAGGTTTACTGATCTCAGTACATTGCGAGTAAACTGAAAAATATTTAAATTGCTATATTTGTAGAAAAACAAACCATCAGCCCAAAACAAGATGCAGCCTTTCACTAGGAGTTAAAAGATCTCTGCAATAAATCCATTAAGCATTAGAGGAAAGGAAGAACCGGGGTTGTGCGGCTGAGGGCAGAATTCTGTTGGCAAGGAGGAAAGAAAGGCATTGGAGTTTTGTCTCAGACTATCTGATAATGTCATAAGAGGGCTGCAGCAACAACAGGTACATAATACATACAACTAAAATATATACATGTAGAAGCAAGGTATTTTTTGAGGAAAGACCATGTAAATGGTCTGAATTTGGTCTATAATAATGTCTATAATGTGATAATGGTCTATAATAATATACTAAATATTGACTGAATGCTAAATTCATCCAGTACTGGTTTAGTTATATTGGAGATAACATTTCAATTTAGCTTAAAGATAAGTCACATAGAGGTGTTGCTGTCTTTGTTTTTTGTTCAGTGCATCAGTTGAAGGGTTAACAGAAAATGAAGATCATATGGGCTCAAATGCTTTGTAAAATTTTACAGGAGTGTTCTATCTAAAGGGATGCATTTCACCTCTGAATTTCAAAAGGAAATCTCTTGATATTTTATTGCCATTTAACATGTATCTGCAGATGAAAAGTGAAGTTACTGCTGTAGAACTTTTATGCTTACATTCTCTGGAACTGCTTGCGTATCTGGGCTCCTGAATCTAAACTAATAAATACAGAGATGTTAAAGAGAGCCGTTTTGTGGGGGTTTTAGGGGCTTATGAAGGGTAATCCAAGAGTTACCTCAATCATAACATCTTCCCTTGGTTTTAGATCTGTTTGCTAGCATGTAACTAACTTCAGCATTTTTAAGTGTTTCTTACTCTTCTGTTAACAGCTAAGAAAAAATATTACTTGGTGAGTGTAGAAAAATGGTACCGTTTCAGCATAAAGGAAACAGAACATTTTCAAGTAATAAGAGGTAATTCAGAAAATGACAGGTGAAACCACTTTTCTTCATTCTGAATCAAAAATTCTGTTAAGAGTAAACATTAATGTGTAAAAAGGGAGTTAGAAGTAATTTAGGATGGAAGTGCTGACAGAATGTTGCCTAAAGCAGTGGTTTACAATGCAGCGCTACTCTGACTAATGAAAGGCTTACTGAGATCTTGTAACTGTGATGTAACTGTTGACAGTAACTGTGATGCACGTGCTTACTGCATCTGAAAATGCATTTTCAGATGCAGTAAGCACATGCATCACAGTTACTGTGTCAACACGCAGTAATAGGGTAGTGTCAACCTTTCACAGTTTTCTACGTTCACATTTTTGAGTCCTTTTGCCAATGCACGTGAATGACTGCGGAGCTAAACAATTCTAGGCGTAAGGTATTGTCGCGAGGGTTTGGAGTTAGTATGAATTTGATTTAAGTTTGGAAGTGGTAAATTCCACTATAACTGGAAGCATTTTAAGAACTAGATTCTTAGGCACCACATAGTGTGAAAATGAATTAAAACTTTTTAACAGGAATCTAAACTGTATTTAGCGTTTCCTTGCTGGCTTAGGAAGGTCAAAGTGATGCCAATCCTTCAATGCAGTGTTATCCTTTAATATCAGAGTGCAAACTCCAGCACTGTGCAATTAGGTCAGTTAGCTGGTTTTTCCACCCTCTCCCACACAATCCAAGGACTTGCCTCTAAATAGGAGTAGCTGTGAGATATAGTAGCTCTGAAGCTATTTGTTTTGAAACCTACAAAGAGCTCCTTGTTTCTTCCTAGTGGTATCAGCAACCACACACTAAAGTTTGAGAAGCTGTACAATGTCTAGTAAGTAACAGAAGCAGCTGTGTAGCATCTAGTAAATGTGATGAGTAACTTTCTGGCCAAAATGAAGGTAAAGAAATGACAGCACTGCCTGTTTGTGACAGGAATTTTTATTGTACTTGTTTGTTAATTGAGAAAGGAACATACCAGCTCAATTCAACACAATCAGCATCTTGCTCCTGGCTTTGGATAAGCTAGCAAATCCAGTGTTTCCAATACTAATTTATTCTTTTTATTTTTCTTACATTAACATCTCAAAACAGAAGAAATGTGTGTTCTTCTCTTCATGTTTTAGTAACCCAACTACTTTGCTTTATTATTTAATCAATGTCATCAAATGTATCCCCCAAAGAACTGAGGCTCTGGGAATTCATAGCTGTGAGAAAAAATAATGCACAAAACTAACAAAACTTTCTTTTTATAATTTAACAGTCTAATAAAACAAGACCTAGCAATATATTAAGAAATAAATCCAGTTACAAATGCATGTATATAGAAGGAACTTCTGAGGATGTCAGAACAGAAAATGATCAGCTATTTACAAGATACACAGCAGGATGATACAGTAGCCAAGCCCCACCATTCAGAAACCAAATGTGTTCTCTCCACTGTAGGCAACATACAAGAATCCATCCTCATCCTTTTCCTTCTCATAAAGTTGTCCCATAGTTAAGCTTAAAAGGGAAAAAAAGAGAAATGGTTTGTTTGGCTCATGCAAGTTGTCAGTGTTAACAGTCAGAACTTCATATAAACAAGGATCAATAAAAACTAAAACTATTACGTCTGTGTATAGGTAACAATACAAAAAAATGAGTGTAAATGAAAAGCAGTTGACACCTAATTTAGAGAAATGATCCTGGACTCTGCAGAGTAAATTTTCTTTATTTCTTCACAAATGCCTTTGTCAGAATGCTTCCTTATTTTGTTGGAAATTGGTCTCTATTTTGAAATCAAAAAGAAACCCTAGCAATTACTTGGCTGCTCAACTGCTCCAACCATCTATTTACAGATAGTTGGAGCAGTAGACATCACTTGGGTGCACAAATGAAGCCTCCTCAGCTCACCTTTCTCTGACTTCCCAAAACTGAGAAAAGGCTAATGAACTGAAAGATGGAGCTGGATGTGAGTGACAGGGAAAACAATGACATCATTCTGCCCAGGAGAGGAGCTGGGAAGATTTGTAAGCAGTACTTGAAATGGAAGTGAATTGGTGAGTAGTAAATAGATCACCAATCATTGACGTCCTTCTCTCCTCATACAGAGGTTTATGAGCAACCATGAACAGATTGTGGTTTTGTTTATTGGTTAAGAAGTTACCATTTTTACATTAGTACTGAATGATCAAAGCCCTGTTTTCCTAGCTGAGATGTTACATCTTATTATGAACATGTGAGAAGAGACAATGGATCTCCCTTTCCTGTGCCTAGCAATTCTGTGATACTGTTATAAAGATGACATATAGGCATTCTCAGTACTGTTAAAAGAAAACAAGCAGAAAAGGATGGTTCTCATGGATCCCTGTTGTGTATCGGAGTACCTGGAGGGACTCTTTCTTTTACAGTTAAGTATTAAGAATGATATCACATGTAAGGCATGTAATGACATACTATTTCCTTAAATGATACTAAAGTATCTAGTGTAGAAAGTTGTAGTTGCTGCTTGTGCTATATTCTGTTATGTAGGAGAAAACAATAAAAGTTATTCCTATATAAAAGCAATGCAAAAAACCTTTCTATTGCAATTATTTTTTCATAGAAAAAAAATAATTAAAAAAAAAAAGAACCAGCAGCTAGTTTGTAATGTTACAATTTCTTTGTAAACTGACAGGTTATTGTTTTTTTTCAGAATAATTTATGGCATTTGCTATTGAGTATTTAATGTGCAACCTTTTTTGTTATACTGAGAATCATTGTGTTCTTGATATTGATGATGTATGTGTTTTTGCACTTAACCAAATGCAACAACATCATAACTCCAAAGCTCACCCTTGTGCCATGGAAGTAAATCATAATATATTTTCAGTCACCTTTCTTTTCAGCCTAGCTCAAGAAATAAGATGTTTATCAAATTCGTGAGGAAAAAAAACTTTTAGTGAGATTAAGATGTGACAAACATATCCCAAAATCACCAAATGAGCCTTGAAGAGCAGTGTTACTTGCCCTCTAATATGCACAGGCTTGCTGTAATGATTCTGAATACCAAGTGAATAGCCTCTCACCTGGATTGTGGGACAGTCTTGTCTACAAAGAGGAATATTGCCTTCTCAGATGGCAGTTGAATCCTCTTCCTGATGATCCACATGAACTGGGCCACGGTGATGTCAGACGGAACTAAGTACTTCCTCTTGTCAATATCAACAATCTGAGATCCTGAGACCTTCTCCACTATGACCTGTAAAGTGCAGGTATGAAAGTCAGGCTCTTCAGGATTGGTATGAACAGACGGCTTTGGTAGATTGTTTGCTCATACAGGCTTACAGTGGTGAGTAGAGGGGATGAAAAAAAAGGTTTCCTGATCACAACCAAATCAGAGGTAAAACTGGCTCAGCACTGTAAAACCTGATTTTACAGCTGCACTGAAACCTACGTTCATATACACAATGACTTGAAACTTTCTACGCCCATGTTTGGCAGTCATGGGGTAAAAAGGTGTGTTATGCCTTAAAGACACCTGTGACAGGAAAGTACGCACATCACTTAACCTTTTGTACATTGATGATATGAAATTACTGCAATGTGGACTCAAAGCTGAAAATGAACCAGCGGTGTACCCTAGACACAAGTAAGGCTAATAGTGTCCTGGACTGCATTAGGCGAAGGACTGGTACTGGTGTGGCTACCTTTGTATTCTGCTAAACTGACATTTAGAGTATTCCATCATTGCCTCGGAAATCAGAAACTGACTACAGCAAGGAAAGATAGCAAGGTGGCCACAAACAAAACCAAACAAAAATAAACCAAACAAAAGCAACAGGTGCAGGGGGAAGGACAATTAAGTATTGCTAGTGAAAAAGACCCGATGCTCATTGTGCTACACAAAGTGATTCTTGAAGGAAAAATTCAGCAGGTCAGGAAATGGGGTTTACACAAGGTTCCAGGGTCTCCATTCCTTAGCTCTACATTCCAAGTGAAACATTAAGTTTGAAAAATACTTCTGACTGTTAAATTGACACCAACTATTTGGTATCAATGGTATGTGGCTCAATTTGAATCATCAAGCAGAAAACACATACTGGTCCGGACAAAGGATTGCTGCAATTTGAGATTCAATTCCTGTATTTGTCTTTACCTTGCTGTCCATCCCTGATACAGCAGCATGTCATTATGACTGTGAGTTCCTATGGTTTTTTTTCCCCATAGGTTATCAAGGATATTTTTGAAATGGATACATGGATACTGTGAAGATGTATGGTCAAGGATGCTGCAGTCTATGTGTGAGGGAATAGTTAGTCAAGAGAGAACAGCATGGATCATATCAGCTCGCCAGATTACAACTGGAGAAAATCTTGTGACTTTGTGCAACTGAGCAGCAGAAAAAGTCAATGGGAATGAAGATTCTTCTCTGGGCTGTACTAATGGAAAAGTTACCAAAAGGTGAGAGGCAGGAGTGGCATTAACTGGTATGTGGTCAGATGGGATGTGGGAAATTTTACACTCAAGCAAGTCAGTTGAGAATGTGGACATGTTGCTAGCTGTTATATAAGGATGTGAACTGTGGTCTTGTCAGAGACTGAAATATGGTAAAAGGGATTGCGGGGAGAAGAAGAGAGCTCATTCACTATTTAGCAGATTGGTAGGTATTAATGCTCCTCCAAGAAAGGAGGGGTCACCACTCGCATTGGCTCTTCAAACAGGGTTTGCACGGGGAAATTAATCATGATGACTGGTTATAGGTGTGGAATTCATGAGGGATATCATCTAACTAATTTAGCCAGGCTGGAAGATGGTCAAGGTTTCAATAGTCTTTAAAATCTTTCTAAGGATCAGGCACAATTTTCAAGACAATTAAGGTATTTGGTGGGATATAATTGCCATTAGAAGAAAGTGGGACCATGATATACCATAAAAATCCCTGGAAAGTTTTTAGAAAGCATTTTTTTCAATATGCACTAGGGCACAGGAGGAAATGTTGGACTAGTTATATGTGTTTTGGACTTCTTTAAAACATCTAAGGACACAAAATGGAAAATGAATTTTCTTGGTAGGAACTCATCAGAGTGGGCAGGATGGAAGCATTGTATCTACCTTTGCCTGTAAGTAGTCTGTTGAAGCTGGCTTGGCTACTCACCGGGACACGGTCGGGGTATTTGGCTCGGATTTTTGCGGACTCGACACATCTGTGCTCTGTGAACAAAACTCGTAATTAGTCATTGCATAGTAATTATATTGCTGGTGTCCTAGGCCGAGAGGGCAGCGCCGGCAGGGCCGTGAGCCTGCAGGGAGCGCGATCACATTCCCGTCTCCGAGCGGGTCTCTAGATTTTCGGGGAGACCGTCCCCGGGCATCGCACTACCCTTCGGCAAGGGCCGCCAGCGGCTGTCCGCCCACATACAAGACGGCCGCCTGGGGAAGCCGACCGCGACAGATGGCGACACGGGAGATGGAGGGCAGCGGGGCCGCTGCCAGGCAGCGCCTGGCTCAGACCCACCCTTACCCAGCGCGTGGTCCTCCTTGAACATCCACTTCATGGTGCAGGCGGGCAGGGAGCGAAGCCAGAGGCGGCGAGGCCCGTGTGCGGGGGGCGGGGGCTCGTGCCGGGCCTGTCGCTGTCACGGTCCCTGTCACAACAACAGCCGCGGCTCGGCAGGCGGGACTTCCGGCTCGCCTGTTCCCCGGCAACCGCTTGAGCAGCCGCGCTTCCGGCCGGGGATCGCGGGGAGGGACTGTGGCATCTGGACGCGGAGTCAGCTGCCGGGTGCGAAGCCTCCCGCAGGGCTCCCGGGGCACTCGAAGCTGCTCCACAGACTGCATCGTCCCGGCAGGTGTCCCCATTCGTGTGTCCCCATCCTGCTGCCGGGCGCTATCTCGCCGACGGACCCGGGAGGCAGTGGTGCGCGTTCATTGGCTGATGGACCCGTCCCCTCAGCGCTGATTGGCGCGGCGTCTCGTCAGTCGACGCTCCGCCCGGGAAGGCGCGGGCGGGGGCGGCCGGCGCCAGTGCGGGCAGGGGGCGTGCTTGCGGGCGCTGAGGGCCGCTCGCCATGGCTGGCGTGGAGCTGTACTCGCATCCCGCGCTGTACACGCGCTACCGGGCTGGGTTCTGCTCCGCCGCTGCACTGGCGCTGTTGCTCATCACGGCGCTCACCTATGTGCCGCCGCTGCTGGTGGCCTACCGGAGCCACGGTGAGCGCCGCTGGACCCCACTCGGCCTGGCCGGGTCTGGCGCAGCCCTGAAATCTCGTGCTGTTTCTGCCCTCAGGTTTCTGGCTGAAGCAGAGCGCGTACCTGGAGCAGCCCACTGTTCGTTTCCGGTACGAGGCTCTCTTCGTCGCCACCGTCGGGTCCGGCCCGGGCAGCTTCTTGGCGTGGAGCACATTCCCAGCGTTCAACAGGCTCCAGGAGGACCGGCTCCGAGTCCCGCTCCTGTCGGTAGGCCTGCCGGGGGCGGCCCGGCAACACTGGCGAGAAGCGAGGCTGCAGAGTGGGGCCAGTGGACCGGCAGCCGGCTCAGGGCACGAGTGCTGATGGCGCTTTTGAGCGGGTGGCCCGTCAGGCACTGCTGCATTCAGGTAGCAGCAGCTTTATGTATAACCTTGTGCCTCACATCGGGATTTGCTGGAATTTTAATGAGTCCCGTTTCACTCCCTCTCAGTGTTACTGAATCGTAGCATTACTTAGTTTGGAAAAAGCCCGTAAGACCAAATCCAGTCATTAATCAAACCCTACCAATTTTGCCACTAAACCAGGTCCATGAACACCGCAGGTGCTTTGTGTGAACACGTCGGTTTACTTTCATCAAATTAGTTGTGCCCTTCTGTCCTGGCTACATGGCTTGTCATTATGTGAAGCCTGCAGGGTACACCTAGATTTGGAAGTAGATATGTGCCTTCAGAAACACGTGATCTCTGCCTTGCAGTCACTTTTCTTTCTGGGATTTCACAGTGGCAGTTATTTTTCTGTCTGCCTCTTTATGAGCCCTCCTATATTTTGCAAGTAGCTGAAGTACTGGACACTCTGGCACGCAAGCGTAGCAAGCCTTGGCTTACCGCCAGGAATCAGCATACAGAGGCCATTTAAGAGGCATCCTACAATAGCAGGAGGCACAAGCCTGACCATCAGTCATATATTTGAACTGCGTCTTACACAGAAGATCCAGCACCAAGGCATGCTTTGTGGCCTGCAAGGAAGATGGTTGGAATGGTCTAGGGCAGAAAAGACCTTGAAGTAAACTTTTCCTCCCTGGAGGGGTGTGTGAGACCTTGTATAACAGACAGCAGTGTTGGCTTTTTGTCTCTAGTCCTCTGTCTGTAAATAGGTAGCTTTTTATTACATTCCTAACTGTGCAGTCTGTTTGCTTCCTTGGTATGTGCGTGCTGCAGTTGTAGGGTCCCCTGGGGTTTTACTTTTTTGGTTTTCTTTCTAACAGAAATTCCTGTCTTTAAAAAAATTTATTTAGATGAGAGAAGAAGACAAAAATCAAGATGGCAAAATGGATCAGTTGCATTTTAAACTGGAACTTCCATTACAACCAACAGAGCATGTAGTTGGCGTTCAGCTGATTCTACTCTTTTCCTACCAGCTTTATGTGAGCATTTTTAGTTTTGTTTGTTGTGATGTATAGACCTATTGTAAAATTCCAGCAGTGATTATACAAAAGATGAAAAGAAACCTTCCACAATTGAAATTCCTATCCAAAATAGGTGTTTTACTGAAAAATATTTTATTTTCTCCCCCTTTGCTGTGTCATTCCTAGTCTAGCTCTCTTGTGTATTTTGATATGCTTTGTTAGGGTTTGGGTTTTTTTGTTTTTTTTTTTTTTTTGTAATATTTTAAAGCTTTATATTCTCTTGGGCTGTAGTGCACTCACTGTACAGGACAGAAATGCACAACAGTGAGTATCAGTGTGGGTGGCACCTGAAAAATAACTGAGATTCTTGCAATAGGCAGAAGGATGTGCATTCCTACAAACTGCTGCGTCTTGACATAACCAGTTCATTTTCTGAGGTGGGGAGTCAGGCTGTTGCAGCAGCCTAAAACTCCTTACATTTTGCTAACAGCTCGTGAAGCATCAATAATCATCTGCCAGGATCTTCTGTATCTTGTAACTGGGACGAGGAAGTGTTATAGGAAGACAAGACAGTGCAGTTCTGCTGCCATTGTACCTCAAATGGCAGTGCAAGTAATACCTTAAAGCAAAGAGTAAGCCACCAGCACACAGAGAACCCAGGGATACATCTGAAAGGAGCAGTAACACAGAGCTGCGTTGGGTGCAGCCACAGACAAAAAGTTGTTTTCCTAGGGAGATTAGGCTGTTTCTTTTGAGAGTATTGCTGATTGCAGATGGACAGGCTTAGCAAGCATAGCTATGTGGTGTAGAAAACATTCTTAAGCCAGAGGCCCAGAATAAAGGTCCAACAGTCCTGATTTTGGGCTGAAGTATTTGGTCAGGTATTAGTATCACAGAGAGTTACCATATTCACAACACTTTTTTTTTATCCCACTGTAAATGTGGAAATTTTCCTTCAGACTGAGTGGTTGATAAGAACTAAGGACCTCCCTTCTTTATTTGGTTCTTGTTGCAGAGTACAAGTCCTTGATTTTGACTGCTGAGTTTTTTTAAAGTGTGTCTCCAATGAATGTGTTTTAGTCACCTTGCTGCTTTTTACATGTTATGGCTAGTCAAAACTTTTGGTCATTGGCCACAGACATTGCACTTCACTGAATCTCAACTTTGTTGAGATAATAGTTAGTTAGCTATTAGCTAAGGTAATTTGCTTTTTTAATAAAGTGATATTTTTTTATTTGGTGGTCTCTTGTATAGACTAAGATGATGATCTGAAACTTGGGAGTCCTAGAAAAATCAAATCCATGTAGAAAAATGTGTAGATACCAAGAGGTAGAAAAGTACATTGTGTCCCTCCTCCTCCCTGCTAAATTTTCCTTTTTTGTGTTCACTATTTCAGAGAATGTCAACATTTGTGATGCAGAGCATGGCTTTTCTTCAGTTTTTTTCTCCTGTGCCAGGGTCTCAACTCTATATGAATGGAGACTTGAAATTAAACCAGAGGCAATTACTTAACCACTGTGGACTGGATACCAGATACAATGTGAGGAAATGTTTGTCCCTTCCCCATCAATTCAACCCCCCCACCCCAATCTCTTAATCCTCCTAGTATCTCTTAGTTGACACCCTAATTATTTGTACTATTGCACAGAGTGAACTGTAAGACTTTTGAACTGGTGTTTTCTTGTTAGACTACAAGGAAGAGGTTATTCTGCCAAGATGTTCAGTCTAATGTTTATGTTCATTCCTTGAAGGGCATGGTTACTTTGTGTAAGAAACTCAGAATTACTGTCTTGAAGACTGGATGAATAATTAAAGTGTCTCCTTGTTGTAACAGGTGTCTGTGGTCAATGGCACAAGCCCTTTTGCAAGTGACTATGATCTGGCAAACATCATTGCAGCATATTGGGATAGAAATGGTAAGCCTGAATGTGTAGCTATAGGACAGTAGTAGTTAGCATATTGGCAGCTGTTTTGTGGGGTATATGACTTCTGTATTAATACCTAAAAGCCCCTTAACCTGGACATTTCCTTTCTCTGTTATAGTGACAACAGTCTTTTCAGATCCCAGCCCTGTTTGGATGACTGGAAGAGCAACGGATATGCCATTTATCATTAATGCCACTATTCATTACCCAGTGGAAGTTATCTTATATCCTTCAAAAACTGTGCAAACTATGACATAACAGAGTTACATTATTTGAGCCTCCACCACGTGCAGGTCAAATGAAAATGTTTTCTCTTAGATGTGTTGCTAAACTTTTTTTTTTTGTTAGCTAAGCAAATGTTACATTTCTGGAGCTGATGAAATACCTATTTGTCCATTCCTTCAGATGGTTGTGCCTTCATAACCGCTTTTTGCCTTTCTTTATTGGTAACCCGTGTTGCTTTTCAGCTTTGCTAAAAAGGCCTTTAAAGCAGTTTGTTAGCTATTGTCATGGAATATTTGTAGTACATCTTGCTTTGATTTTGCAGTACCTGCTGTCCCGATCTGTCACAGATGTCACTCACAGAGCATGATACTGTATTCTGTGACCTAAAGCAGATGATTAAAAATCTGTATGCAAGATCATCTCACCAAATAATAACGCCTGCAGTGGGAGGCTGTTACATCTGTTCATGTGCAGACAGACCAGAATTTTTTTCTTTTGAAAAAGTAATTCTTCATTGATTATGTTCTTTGTTCTTCTTCTGAGATAAGAACAAGTCTGCATTTAGAAGAATCTGTATGGAGCACACTTCTTACAAGATTTGTTTACCTGCGTGAATATTAACAATAAGTACTTCCTGATGACTCAGGCACAAAGCAGGTACTTTACCTAGAATTGGTTTAGATGTCTTCTAGAACAGATGTTCTCTCCAGCTTTTGTTACCTACCGTGGTGGAAGGCTATTAGCTGTTTCTGTGGTTCAGAGGCTTAGCATTTGTGACACAAACCGATGTCTTAACAAGGTTTGTGCCTTTCTGCCTATGAGTTTCCTTGTTTAGATATTGCAATGGTAGCATCAGAAGGTTCTCTATTAACACTCCTTAACTTTCCTTAAATATCAGCCAGGATTTTGGGAAATTATGAAATTTGCCTGGATCCAGTATGTCAGCATCCTCCTTATCTTTCTTTGGGTGTTCGGTAGGATTAAGACATTTTTGTTCCAGAATCAGGTGTTGACTACAATTCCAGTATCCCCAGTTCTGCCTGTATCTCCAGTACTATCCTATAAACAGCACCAGTCCTGAAGAGATGCCTGAGAAGACTTTATAGAAATGCCATTCAAAAATAGTTACCTGATTTTATTCTCTATACACTTCTTACTTCAGAAGGTCAGAATTTTGTAAGTATATTTTAAGTATGCTCTGTTTGTGCATTGTTTTTTAAAATACATGTTAATTCACCTAATTTCTTTAGGAACACTGCTTTGGAGCTGGAAAAGTTTATATATTTGACAGTAAAAAACAGCCTAGTTATTTTTTTGCAACTGGAGTATGCGTTAAAAACCATTTTGAAAACTGAAAATAAAAATACGCTAAAAGTAACAACATTAACTGATTTTACTTCTTGTAAATCAATTCACTGCACTCTTAGAGTTGTCAAGAGTTATTTGTACATGCATTTATGTATGTGCACCATGAAGTGGAAAACTGCAGGGATGAGTTAAGGTCAGAGATGCACTTCTGTAACTGTGACTATACTTAATCAGCAATTTAATTATTAAATTGGATGATGAATAAATTCAAGGTTGATGTGAGAAATCAGGTTTTGGGTGATAGTGTGTGCAAAATTTGCACAACCATTTACTACTGGTATTACTGTAGCATGTGACTATTAATTGTGAATTGTGAATAGTGAAACAGAGAATCCTTATATCTATTGAAAGAAAACTAGCAAAAATTTCTGCTGGGGAAGCCTCAGAGTTTCAAAGCAAGTGAATAATTACCTTCAGAGCTTAAATTGTTTAGAACAGATAAAGATTATAATCACCTGGTAGACATTGAAAAACTATGTGCCTCATTCTTGATGGTGGTGGTCATAGGGAAGATTATTTTATCTTATTTTTCTGGGCTTACTTTTTATGCTAGGCAAGCTTACAAGAGAAAACAACAAAATTTCCATTATATTTTCAGTTTTTTATTAAAGAATTAATTCTAGCAAAGCAGTGTTATGGCAGGACATGTAAATCTAGAATTTAAAACAATTCTAGATGCTAGAATTCTCCAAAAAAATCCAAGTGTCTTTGGTTCTTTTAAACTGTTAAGACACCGTATAGCTATGAAATATGAAAGAGCAGCTGAGCAGTAGGCCATCTTTAGGCCATCATCCTCTAGAATTGAACATCCTGGCGGCTGGGAGAGCTACCTTTTCCAGAAGTCTCCAGTTTGCTCTTGGATCTTTGAAGTCTCTACGTGGCAGCGTAGGGCTACTGATAACTGGCTTCGTATCAACATCTCCAGAGTCAAAACAACTGTCTGCTGCTTTTTTGTGCTTCTAGCCACTGCACAGCATGAACGAAGGGGGCTGTGAGCTTGTTTCCCCCCTATCTCCTGCTGGTGTACATTTGGTGTGCTCTCCCTTGCAGCAGTAATGGTGCTTGTGTGACTGCATGAGTTAATTCAGGGAGTTGATTATAGTGAAGATGATCTTTACCAAATATATAATCATTTTTTCAGACAAGTCAGTTCTCTGACTGAACTTGTTACATCTGCACAAGCATTAAGGGGGACATGAGCAAGGGGTAGAAATCTCTGGAGAGACCACAGGACCGCAATTTAAGGGTTTGAGTGTTCTACTCCCACAAAAATGGAATGCATAAGAATCTTCTTCCAAGGTGAACAGAAGTCTTTTTAGGTAGCAACAGAAACACAGAAGAGACTAATGCCTGAAAGCCACAGTCCTGGGAGACTCCATTAATCCCTCTCTGACTTTTTTCTCCTGTTGTAGCCTTTCACATTAAGTTTGAACAAGTGATGCTGCTGAGAGCAACAGTTCAGTGAATGCATGTGAAATAAGAAACGGAGATCAGGCCTAGTTCCAGAAATACAGAGAAAAATATCCTTAAGTTTCTCTTTTCCTTCAGATGGCGAAAACTGGAAAAAATCCTCTACAGTAATGTAAGCAAAGAACTATATACATTAAAAGGAGGCAATCAAAAGAGTTAGTTACTTGCAGGTGGCATTTAATTGTTTAATATGACCTGAAGCCATCCTTCCATTTCTTGTCAAAGAGATCTTTCATGACTGGGACTAATAGGAGCCATAAAGGCAGCTGTTACCACAGCAGGGAGAAAACCCTGTGATACCTCTGCTGTAGTCACTTCCTAGATGATTTTTATACTGACCGTAGTTCTTGGTTCACAGTTCTGACTCCTTTCTCGAGCTTGAAGAGACATTCTGCTTTTGTAAGTAACCAAGCAATAGAAAAAAAGCAAGATTTTATAGCTTAAGCAACAAACTGAACTACAGGGGAAAAATACGTACCTGAGGATCCACTGCAACCAGCGTTAGAAGAGGCTTAGGAAGGAAGAGCCTTTCTCAGAAAGCTATCTGCAAGGACTCTTCCTTCGGCTTGCTGGGCAACACAAAAAGTCAAAACCACCACCATGCACCACAGTTCTACTATACAGATCTTTTCTGTATGCATGTGACAGAGCAATCTAAATGCTCGTCATTGAGAAAGGGCACGGTGGCTCGCTAGGATTAATCAAGGTTCTGTAAGAAGGAAAAAGAAAGCAGCTTTAACTTAAAAGTCCGATCCATAAACTGGAACACGGCTCTTACATGGCCGTTTAAGAAGCCATGCTTCGGGCGTGTTTCAAGAGGTAGAACTAGGAGGAAAGAAACCACCTCGCAGCTTTTTAACTCACGAAGCAGCCCGTTTTGCAGGGGGTATTATCCTCTCTGTCCACTCGCACGAGGCGGG